TTTTCAGAGTGGCTAAAATAAGTTTCACCTGTAGGAAATACTGGTAAGCATAATAAGTTGCGACTCCCCGTTGAGGCCTGCCTTTGGGCGAACCTTAAAAATCTATTAATTCCCTAGAGCAGTCAAACGAACTAGATCAGAATATATATCACAACTGGCGCATTGGCATATCTCCACGAAGCTGTGAACCCTTGATTAACGGGACTTTCCTTGCATTCCAACAGCTTTCTCATCACCGACCAACATAACGTCAACGCTAGCTGGAGTTGAGTCAATTGTCGCTTCTCATGTGCCTACCACTATCAGCGCATTGATCGCAGACTTGACAGCATAGGATGTCATGAAACGTTGATTCCCCTTGCCGCCTGTCTCCTTTCACAGCTACATTGCAGCCCAATGAAGTCGGAATACGTGAAGTGATACAGACCTTCTTCCGTGATATCGGAGCTGCGGCATCGTGAACTTGGCTCACCAATGAAGCTTGCCAATAATCATTTAGTCAGTGGATACGCTGGAGATCAGTGTATTTATTATTGCATATACTGAATAGTTTACAAGCATGGTTTGTTTAATCATATTTGAGATACTGATTGATATCTTAAGGTCCTGGGGCTTGCCTAACTGATAACTCACCGTGAATGATAAATTCCGGAGTTTCTCAGGCTGTCGTTATCATCTTTGGATTTCTGGGGACAAAATCACGAGTGGCGACAGGCAGGCGGGGTAGTTTGATTTACATCTGCGTTGGGGGGTTACAAAAAAGTCCATTCAAAACTTCCGTCGATATTCAAGAAGTCACGTGTCGGACTGCTGAAGTTCTATCATCAGTAGTTGACTACTCCATGTGCGTGTTTTAGTCACAGTCGTGTGGCGTGTGGGAACTGACTGCCGAGGTGCAAAGCTCGTGACATGTTTCCCCTTTGAATAGTGAGATATCTTCAGTTATAGAGATACAACAAGTCCGCGAGGTTTCTCAACATAGTCCACGTATACCGTCACGCTGCTCAGGACCCGGGCATTACAGTAATTGTGCTGCGAAATCCAGACAATTTTCTACTACCAAGCATGGTTTAAAAATAAAGAGACGATTAGTGTCATGGGTCACTAGTACTTCCATGATGTGAACCATTCCAGTCACGCCGCCCATTCCCGCATCAGTGTGTTTGTTTCCTCCGATCTAGTGTTCAATCACTGGAGCCTAAATCTGTTTGGAATCAACTACAAGAATGGAAGAAAAAAAGTAGTTGATCTGAACGCCCAGAGTATGTAGACACGCCGACGAAAGTAAAGTTCGACGAAAACTGTAAGGTGGGGAGACTACTTTCAGCTTCGTGGCAGTTACCTACCTGACTTTGCCAGTCTTTCCCTCGGTATCTGTAGATCTCCCATCGTACACAGGCGCCGGATGTTGTACAATTCAGGATGGGTCCGAATAGAACTGGGATACCATAATCGGTGTTCCCAAACTAGATATGCTCGTTTTTGACGTTTAGTCTGGAAGTATCAGTTATTCTCACCCTGGCTGTGAGTCCCAGATGAGGTGACACATACGTATATCTAGGCATCCTGACAAAGGTACCCCCGCCCTTCCCTTTCATTTTATTCCCTGACTTCATTATCGTCGGTTCCCAAGACATGACGTTGGGCAATGTCGCTACTGATTATGGTGCTTTGCTCATCGGTGGTCTCCTGGCATTCAGGTCAGTCATAATCCGTTGTCACAAATACACATGGAGCTAATGTCCCGGTAGCCTTTCCGGCTGCGTGGGCATGCAATTCATAGTGTATTGCAGGATGTATCCGTCTGATTCACAACGCAACAAAATCATGGTAAGTCATAACGATTGGTTCATCAAGTCGGGATTAATGCTCCAACTCAGGTCGTATCGATCTGGTTTGTTTCGACAGTTCAATCTCATTCCCTGATTTACGATTGAGATATTTTCGCGCAGGTTATTGGATTTGTGTCATTCAGCGTTTGTTTGTGTTGCGCTATGGGACTCTATCATAGCGCATTATGGTGATACTTCAAAAATGGATACTATACCCTGGTACGTGTAGATTTGTCAATGGGAGCGCATATATCCATTTACAATTATTTTGCCGCAGGAGCGTAGGGGTGAGCCCATATGTCTCGTATACTTTAACCACGTCTGACATATTTGTACTATGGCGTGTGTAGCCTACTGTTGAGCTAACTGTATGTATTCAAGCTTCTTCCCATGACACCCCGATACTCACAGTTGATCGTAGGCCATGGTTACCTTTATAGTTCAAAGGTAACCTATTTATGTGCTCTGTTTTGATGAATTGCTGAATATCGCATTTGCAGTTTCTTTTCATATCGGATATTTCGATGTAGGTTGTTTTGGCTAAATGGCGTTGTCTTTGTCCTCATCGTACTTTTTAGTAAGCAAAAAGAGATGGACAGTTGCGGGTCCTATTGTAAGGTTGCTCTCTGTTTACTTTCATACAAGCACTCACTTCTTTTTTGAAGGCCTTGCTTGCATTCCTTCGCCTTGGTAAGTGCTATCTATCTAACGTGGTTCAATAGTACTAATTTTGGTAAACAGTGGCTGCTAGTGGTAAGTTAGAGGTATCCACGATCAGCGTCCAATGTAATTGAATTTTTTCCCTTTCCGTGGTCAACTTTTAGTATCCATGGGAGAAATGTAAGCTGTCCTTTCCTAACCTGATTCTCACAGCCCTGATACATGAACGCATAGGATCAAAGTAAAATCATATTCGAAATTTGACAAAATGTTCCCTTCTGTGCGTGACTATCTTCCGACGTCGCATGACTGGAGTAACTGACACCATATGCAGTCAATTTTCACACTGGGTTTAGCACTCTCAGTTGCCGTGGACGTAATGATCACGACCTTCCTTTGCCTTTTCTTGCGCTCAAACCGTACTTCCGTGTTGAGGTATGGTGCTCTCCTTTTAAGATGCTACCCAGTAACTCATACACAGTGGAGAAGTACGAACCGCATCATAGATGCCCTAACGCTGTATACGCTACAGAATGGTTCTGTTACGTCGTACGTATCAAAGCAGGTAAACTACGCAACTAGTGTATTGATATTGTTGTGCTTCTACTGTAGCGCTGCTGCTATAGCCTCATTGATATGTGTGGGTACTCTCCCGTGGTCATTTTACTATAAAAGGTTGATTTTTTTGTGTTTGATACCCAGTGGTTAACAATGCCCGAAAATCGAATATTCCTGGGTCTCCATTTTGTTATAGGAAAACGTGGGTATCCTGAATGTTCTATCATCTTGCCAACTGACACGGTGCACACTGCTCAGTTTACGCAAATTCGTTACTGGCAACGTATGATATCCGGCTCTCTGGAACCATTTTCTCCACATTTAAATGTTTTATGTATCATAGATTGAATTCACGAAAGCACCTACGGCAGGATCGCTCTCAGGGTACGACGACAGGCAGCAACCCACTACCTGTCATTTTCCCGGACAACTATGATGGAGAGAGAGGTTATCGTGCTGATAGAGGCTACTCTGTAAGTGTTTGATATCAAACTCTCCTAGATGCTAAGCTTATAAAACATGTAATTGCTGCAGATGCGCCTGCAACATTTCTCGCTGAGACCAAAGGGCACACCAGCAGTATGTCTTAGCGTGCAGTTGCATTTTCTTTTACTGACAGTACTCGTTGGTATTTTCATAGGTGCAGGTGAATGTGGAAAGGACGATAGATACGAAGTTTGACGAGGATCTACCATCACAACGGGATACCTCATCTGAGGATAAAGTTTCCGGCGAAGAACTTCCTAGCGTCCACACTGTATGATATTGATAATCACGACTGATAGCCACGCTCCCTTACTCCTGTTTAATGTATTTGATTGATATCCTGCAAAGATATAGTAGGTATGTTAGCTGTAACGATGTTGACTTATTTTCCTCGCATCACGATATAATTATATGGCTTGTCTCTTCGATTGTATATTATACGATTCAGTTCTTATAAGGACATAAATGGCCGTTGGGAGAAATCCGCACATCCAATTATAGGGGTGCCATCATGGGCGGTGACACCGGGCCAATCCAAGACTTGTGTTTCTCGGTAGATTGTCGAACCGCTTACGTTCGAAAGGGTGAGGAGAGTGTAAGAGGCAAGCTGGCCAGCACGAGGGACTCGACACCCTTAATTCCCGAGCAGACGTTTTATGTCATACACATGCGAACATTGGGTTCAGCTGCTGAGTTTCCAAAAAACTGGATCATACAGTTAACGAAGTTTGTTGTATGAGGGTTGCCAGTGGGTGTGATTATGATAGAACTATGCTCATGTTAGTAGTACTACAAACATTGCTTTTGTCACACCTCCAGATATTGTCACGAGTGTGATGGAATGTGACGGGGCAGAAAAGACGGTGGATTTTTGGCTCAGCTTGGCAGGCAGGTATGCGGGGGACACTCACTAACTGGTACAGGCTGCGCCTCTCTATGCAGCTGGATCGTTTAAAGTCTCCGTCTTCGGCTCCTCCTTCCCTCAAAAGATCTTTTTCCCAACAAGCAGGCGCCCTCAAGCTCTCCGCTTCAAGTTCTCCAGCCCAAGACCATCCTCCCAGACCCACAAAAGCGCCTAAAATAGAGTCCTTTCCGTCATCCTCAATGTCAAGCCCATCCAGAAAATCTTACCGTCATTCCCCAATGGCTCCTCCTCCTGACAGGCCTTCCTCGTCGCATTCATCTACACGCCATCCATTATCAGAATCCCCCTTTTCTCGTAGGGCTGGAAAGAGCAGTCGCGGAAAAAATAGGGCGTCTACCAACAGACGCCCCGAGTTTGAGGGTGTACTCTACGATCGCCAGTATATTTTCGATAAACATCAGGCAGATTCTGTAGGTAGACCCCTCATCAAACAGGCACATGAAGAGAATCCAAAATCTCCTGTATCCAATTTCGTCATAGGAAAATTTGGTTCGTCGCCCAAGTACGAGACTGTCGAAGGGATACACCGTGAGACCTCCCAGAGAATATACAGGTGCTACATCTCGCCTTACACTTTGTGATTTATACTCATGGTTTATTTATACAGGACTTCATTGACATTGGAGACGGACCCGCCTATAGTTGCTATCGGCGACGATACTGAAAAGAAACTTTCTGAAAGGCTCGCGGCTCTTTCCGCTCTATATCAACTGCATGACCAAGGTTTTGTGCGTATCTACAGCCCCGTTCGTATTTTCTCGCAGCTGATGTCTTGCATCACCTAGCTAGATCCACCAGCTGTAGCCCCTCCGCCGGCGGCACTAAATGAAGTCACCTTGTCAGATTCTTCTGTGGTCGGCTACGAACGAGCACGCAATTTCATGGATTACTACTGCCGCCGATATTCCTTCCCAAAACCTGACTTGGATTTCGAAGAATGCAAAGGTAAACGAGGGAACTTCTGGGAGGCAACCATCACTGTAGATGGACGTCGTATTGGTATGGGTAGTGCTCCTTCGAAGAAGCAATCACAAGTACAATGTTACTTGGATGTAACGCAGTATCTTGAGAAGTGCGACCCTGATCTATGGCTCGCTTTCGCAGATGCTGAAAAAACAGGCAAGGATCTAGGAATGGGTCCCAAGGTACTCTTCAAGATGGGTCGGCGTCTTAGTGATGAAATTAGCGATCTTTGCAGGGACATCAAGAAGACTGCACTGTACAGGAGTACACCTAATGTAGAGTCCGGCTCTGGTGGTATACGATCCAGCACTAGTTCTATTTCATCACGTGCACCTTCTTATCCTCGTGCTATCCCTGCAGGAGTATTGGCTTTGAAATCGACGCAACTTCTGGAGAGGCGCCAAAAATACCTTTCTGATCCAGCAATGGAGAATTTGCGCAACACTCGCATGTCTTTACCAATATACACTCGTTCTAAGGAGCTATTATCGCATATCCAGGATAACGAAGTAACTATATGCATGGCGGCGACCGGCTCGGGAAAAACTACACAAATACCGCAGCTAATCCTTGATGATTACATTGACAGGGAACAAGGTGCCCGATGCAACATCATTTGCACGCAACCACGTCGGCTAGCAGCATTGAGTGTCGCCGATCGGGTGGCAAAAGAAAGAGGGGAGGTGGTTGGTAAAGGGTCGATTGGTTATAGCGTCCGGTTTGAGTCGAAGGTACCTGAAGAGCATGGCTGCGTCACTTTTTGCACTACCGGTGTACTGCTGAAGAGGCTTCAATCTGCGCTTACCGAGGGAGGTCTCGCAGCCGCCAAGATGGATGAAGTTACTCACATCGTTGTCGATGAAGTGCACGAGCGGGATGTGGATACGGATCTGCTGCTTGTGGTTCTGAAACAAATGCTGGAGGATCGGAAATCAAGGAATGTGCCGCTGAAGATTGTGCTTATGAGTGCTACGATCGACCCCTCACTATTTCAAAAGTATTTCCCCACCGAGCAAGGCAATCCAGCAGACGTCATTGAGGTCCCAGGCCGTTTGTTCCCCGTCACGAAACACTTTTTGGAGGATTTCATACCAAGCATGAAGTCCAATCCTCGGACAGGCTGGGTTTTCCATGAAGATTCCGTAGTGAAGTATCTGAGAAATGAAGATATGTACGCTTTGGATGGTAAAGGGTCCAAGCAAATGGTTTCTCCATCATCACGCGGCGTGGACGAAGACTTGGAGCTACCTTATCCCCTCATAGCCCTTGCCATCTCACACGTCCTTCAGAAAACCGACTCGGGGCACGTCCTCGTTTTCTTGCCTGGTTGGGAGGAAATTACCGCAGTTCAGCGTATCTTACTTTCGGGCCGCATGGATCTCAACTTTTCGGATAGCTCCAAGTATGGTCTTCATCTCCTGCACTCCACAATACCGTTGGCAGAACAGCAGGTCATCTTCGAACCTCCACCTGAAGGTGTACGGCGTATCATTTTGGCAACAAACATCGCGGAGACATCTATTACCATTCCCGACGTAGTATATGTGATTGACTCGGGCAAAGTCAAAGAGCAGCGCTACAATCCTGATAAACACATGACGTCTTTGGTTTCCGCTTGGGTAGGGTCTTCCAACCTCAATCAAAGAGCAGGTCGTGCAGGTCGACATCGGTCCGGTGAATACTTTGGAATCCTCGGCAAAGCACATGCCGCTGGCCTACATCCACACCAAACGGTTGAAATGAAACGAGTTGATTTGACCAATGTCGTTATGCATGTTAAAGCACTCAATTTCCCTGGTATGGAGGTGGAAGACGTGCTAGCAGCAACAATTGAGCCTCCCGAGAGTGAGAGAGTGGCTGCAGCTATGAAGGACCTTCAAATGGTTGGGGCCCTTGATGGCAAGAAGAATCTGACGCCTTTAGGCCGTGTCCTCCTTCAGCTTCCTGTTGACGTACAGATGGGGAGACTCGTGCTTTATGGAAGCTTTTTCCGTTGTCTCGATCAGGCTCTAACCCTCGCGGCCATCCTTACGAATCGTGACCCATTCGTCTCTCCTGTACATCTTCACGAAGAGGCTGCCAAAGCAAAAGCGAGATGGCTGCCAGCTGACTTTAGGTCTGATGCCCTTACGATTCTGCAGGCATACAATACTTGGTGGGCCATGCAATCGAAAGGTGAATATAACTCGGCAAATCGCTTCTGTTCGGAAAACTTCCTGTCGAAACCGACGCTTCTCTTGATTTCGAAAATCCGCGGACATCTGTTACAGTCGATGTACCAAGCTGGAGTAATAGATGTTTCCGCTGGAGGAAGCGTAACAGCTCCCACTCGCCGTAGGGAACCTGCCGTCCCACCAGAGCTCAACGCGAATGGTGAGTCGCTACCACTGCTTGCTGCACTTATTGCCGTGGCATCGCAACCCAAATTTGCTATTCGCCAGGGTGAGAGGTCGTACCGTACTGCACAGGACAAGGTATGTTGTGATCTATTCATTCGTTATTCATATTACTAAGGCGCCGCTTTACAGACAACATTTATCCATCCATCCAGTGTCAATCACCGTAAACGACTACTTCAGAATCCTGAGATCGCCAGTCAAGGAGAGAAGCAGCTGTATGCTTTCACGGAGAAACGTCAAAATCTTTCAATGGCAGGCTCAAGCAGCACTCCTTCTATGTATCTGATAACGACAACACGACTTGATCCCATGACTTACATGTTGTTTGGGGCTTACGAGATTCAGGTCACAGAACGTGGTTTGGAGTGCGATGGATGGCTGCCTATCGTAGGTGATCTAGATACGCTAGATGACATCCAGCGCTTGAAGACCCTCATGGAGTCCTGCATGTTGAGGGTCTTTGAAGGTATCGTCGTTGGCCAGCGCCATAGGAGAGGACAGCAGCCCATACCGTCGTATGAGGAGTCCGAAACGACAGATGAGGACTTCAGTTCGAATCAGGGTAACCCGTTATCGAGCCAAGAACTCAAGGACCTGGATCTTCTCACACGGGATATCGTTCGGGTTCTTAATCAGTATAGCGACGAACGTACTGAATCACAATCAAGGCAAAACTCTCGTCCGGGTACGCCTATGGGTTCGCCATCGTTTAACTCCATGCGGCTATCAGGGCGTTCAACCCCTTATTCATCGTGGACTGGGTCGTCAGAGCAAAGCTCCCTTCCAGCGACGCCTATGGGTTCACCGTCATTCAGCTCGATACGGTTACCACTAATCGGCTCACGATCGGGGTATTCAACCCCTCATTCGATCTACACCTCTAGACCAAGTACGCCCAGTGGGCTTTCACGTAAACCATAGAACAGTCATACAGTACAAGCACAAACTTTCAACACACATCACAGGAAACTAATTTAGACTAATATACAACAATGCGTATATCTTAGCGTAATACCACTCTACTCAAGAGGTCGTTCAGACGCCAGGGGGAATGGCGCCGATATGCCGAGTGATCACTGTGACTCACCTGAAAGAGCCAAAGAGTACAGGGAGGGTCAGACTCCTAAACCATTCTGCGGTGGGTGTTCAAGCTCTCCTAGTGTAGCCACGTTTGTATTATATAATCATATTTTTCCGAATTTGAACCGAAACTTTAACACTTGGTTGAACACCCACCGCCGACTGGCGTAATTTACTGTGGCACCGGTTGTGGTCTGTTTGGATCCTTTCGGTGGACCGCAAAAAAATTCGGTATACCGGGACAAATATTTGTGGTTAAACTTATTAAGCATTATCCTTCTTACTTTCCTTCTTTAGCTGTGTGCGACTTCTCTTCAACAGTTCAACCTATGTCTCGACTGAAGTATGTAGTCCCTACACTGGAGGAAATGCGTTGCACCACCACAGAGACATCTTCGGGCATACACCATGTGACTGCTCCATTCGGCTCTTGCGCAACTTCAGAAATGAGACATTTTCACACTGTCAGCTACCAGATCAGGCAAGACACTGTATTTTTGGATCCCATTGTTATTCAATGACAGTGGGATGATCATTCTTGTGACACCACTGAATATCTTGGGAGACAAGAATATAGCAGAATTAGAAGCTATTGGGATAACAGGAGTCAATCTAACAGCTGCTACAGCAACGAATGAAATATTTAAGGTGGTGAGCATCAATCTATTGATCTGTCTGTTACTGATGAAGATTCGAAGGATATTGCTGCACATAGTTTCCGCATAGTGATTGTCAGCCCCGAACGAGTATGACATGACACTCGCTCCAAGAAACTTTGGGACAATCCCAAGTTTGTGCAAGGATTGTTTAATGTGATGCTAGATGAAGCTCATTGTATCAGTGAATGGGACTCTTTTCAACCCGAGTATAGTGAGATTGGACACTTATGCTGGATACTACCATTGCATGTGCCATTTCATTGTGCTTCAGCAACAATGCCCCCTAACAGCAATATATTTACTTAGGGCTTTATAAAAGTTTTGTTCATTGTAAGGTACAGAACCAGCTGCTACAAGCTGATTGGCAGTTTCTTCTGCTGTTGGTGGATACTTCTGGATATAGTGTGACCACCCTTCAATTGTGGTACAGTTGTGATGCCATTAGTGTTGATTTGCAAGGTGACGACACATGGTACCTGTACTAGTTCCAGTAGTGTATACTTGAGTTTTTCCTGACACCCTAACACAATAATCAATATAAAATAGTAACTAATGGATAACATACATACTTGCAGGCCTTGCAGATGTTAGCCAGACCTGGACCATTACTCCAGTGGTATTCCACCTTACAGTCAAAGCATTTGCTGATATCTTTGGCTTCCTGATTTTTCTTTTTCTTATAAGCAGGCAACTCTTTGCTACCACAACTAGGATCATTTGCAGAAGGTGAAGGGGCTACTGAAGCTGGGATTGAAGGAATTAAAGAGCTCCCAAAGGAACATTCTACTGATAGTGCCCCAGGTTGAACTAAGAATGAAATAATTATAGTTAAATTTGTAGTATAAAAAAGGTATAAGTAGTTACCTGAAGCCTGACCGTCAAGGTCAATATATTCTCTGTTTTCAGAAATATGAGATGCACAAGTAGTACCACGGGCCCTAGTACCAGAAGACCGCCCCCTGCTCTTGCCTCTAGCATGATGTGTGCGGCTGTAACAACCAAGAGTTAGTTACTCTGGCACACACTAAGACAAACTATAAAGGTAGTGATGTGGGAGTGGTTACCCCTTAGGTAGGACCGAGTTAGTTGTTGGTATACAACAGGAGGACTCGCTAAGGAGTCTCCGTCTCCTGGATCTATTGGGTATATATACTAATACAGAGTGTTTGTATTTATGTACTGTACAGTTAATCAAGACAGTGGCTGATGATGTCATGGGGCCTAACCCGCATGACCAGCTCCATTGTGTGAGAGAGTTGAATCTAAAAATAAGAAGAAGACAATGTGGCGCGAGAAAGAGGAGTTTGAACAAAAGGGGAAGTGCTGCATTGCACCATGTGTGAAAGCTAAAGTATACAAGGTTATAGCGGAGGATGAAAATGAAGGAAAGGTCCAAAAATTGTGTTATTGTAACACTACCCCCCTTCTAAGGCTCGACTTCCAGGCTCGACCAAATACCGGAGGTGGTAGTTAAATTTTTGGGCATAGGTTGAAAAAGGGAATTAAAAAGTTTTGAGTCCATGCCTCTAAGCTTCCTAGGAGCTGAGGGATTCTTAGAATAAAATTCTCGAATAGTGTCATGGGAAATTTCCAGATGGGCTTCTGGTTCCCACGTTCTGTCCTCGTCTCCATAGCCCTTCCATAGGACTAGGAACTCTAATTTGCCACGCTTCAAGCGTGCATCCACCACCCGTTCGACTTCGAACTCTTCTTTGCCTTCCTGGGTGACTACAATTGGTCTGGGCCGGTCTACACGCTGTCCCGGCAGCGGCCCTTTGTAGGGTTTCACACGGCTAATATTGACCGTGGGTACTACCCTCATCCGTTTTGGGAGTTCCAGCTCCACTGCGTTGGGTTTGACTTCCTTAATCCAGTAAGGGCCAATCCACTTTTTGGTCAGTTTTCTAGACCGCCGATCCTTTAATTTTAAGTGGTCGGTATCTAACCAGACCAGGTCGCCGACCTCGTAGTCAGGGGCCTTAGAGTGTCTACGCTCTGCCCTGTCTTTCATCTGCTTTGCAGTTTTGAATAGCGCCTTGCGCGTTTCGTCCAAGACAGACTTCATGTCTTTTGCCATGTTCCCAGCAGCCTTGTTCTTGCTTTTGCCAGGTTCTACACCCATTCTGGGGAGGTACAATCTAGTAACCTCAAATGGTGCCTTTCCTGTAGCCGACAACTGTTTGATATTATAAGAGAACTGGGCTATCTTTAGCCACTTGGCCCAATCTGTCTGCCTGTCATTAATAAATATCCGGAGATATTGTTTCAACTCCTGGTTGAGTCTCTCCGTTTGTCCATCAGTCTGCGGATGGAACACCGTTGATAATTTAGGTTTGATGCCCAGCATCCGGCATGTTTCGGAGTAAGGACTGGTAGTAGGCATCCCGCCAACCAGCTCCAAGCCTCAGTAAAGCCTGGTTATACTAATAACACCTTATTCAGGATCGTACCTCATTATGAGGATACGGTTCCTGAACACGCATGAAAATCCTCTATTATTAGTACAAGTCTCTCACCTGCTGATTAATCAAGTTAAAAGTTGTACAATAGTTGTTCTCTCTTTTTCTTATTGGTCAATTGATTCCTCAGACCACTTTTCGTATATTCTCCTTTCGGTCTGAGGAACGAACAGTTCACTATATAAAGCCTTACCTATTCATGTATGGCTCCTTAGTTTTCTATTACTGAATTTACCCGCTTTACTCCTCAACAAGAACCTTTGAAGCTTACCTCTCAAAGTCCTCTACTCGCTATATTTACTGGCATCTGTCGACCTCAAGCTCATTGAACCCCTTACTCCCTGCAAGTGCAGAAGGAGACAGGTTTCGTTTTTGTTATAGTTTATCGTTGCCTCACACCAGGGTGCCCAGCCACTGGAGTGTCATGATGTCTATCTATTGCCTTGATCCTTGCAGACTCAGGCACATAGATTTTGTCTTTAAAATGGAAGAGCCCGTCTTCCCATAAATAGTTTTCATTGCCGTCAAGGCGCGCCTTCTCTTCTGAGGAGATGTCTTTCTTGAAGACTTCTAGAAGATCGGAATCCTGCCCAATTCTAACATTGGCAACCCTTGATTGGTCTATCAGGGTAACAACTTTGTTGTCATCTTCGATGCCATTGGCATGATCCTCTCTTCTGGACAAAGTGTCCGCTTTCCCCATAGAGCTTCCAGGCTTATGAATTAATTTATAATTAAACCTTGACAAGTATACCACGTAGCGGGCCTGTCTTTGGTTCAAGTCTCGGGCCGTCATAAAATACTCCAGATTCTTATGATCGGTCCAAATTTCAAATTGGTGCCTAGCACCTTCTAAGTAGTGCCGCCAGTGCTCTAGAGCTCTAATGATGGCCAGCATGTCCTTATCATGTATTTGATAGTTGCGCTCTGTAGGCGACAAACTATGCAATAAATAGGCACAAGGCCTCCAAAGATTGTCAGGGCATTTAATTGATAGAACAGCCCCAGTAGCAAAATCAGAAGAGTCGGTTTCTAGCCGGAACTCTTTGCCCAATTCTGGAAATGCTAATATGGGTGCTGTTGTAAACACCTGTTTAAGCTTATTGAAAGCTTCTTGTTCCTTGGTGCCCCAGTGCCAAACAATGTCCTTTTTAGTGAGATCGTTCAACGGTCTCGTGATTTTTGCAAAGTTTTTGATAAACCTTCAGTAGAAATTTCCTAAGCCAAGGAAGGCCCTAACTCCTTTGATGCGAGTAGGTTCTGGCCAATCCAAGATAGCTTGAACTTTCTCAGGATCCATCCTGATTCCATTCTGGCCTATGATCATACCGAGGAAGTCTACTTCCTTTACTTTAAAATTACATTTTTTGGGTTTGACCAATAGGTCCCGTTCCTGTAAGCGTCAAAGGACTTCTTGCATGATCCTGTCATGCTCAGCCTCATCGTCCAACTTCATAAATATTAACAAATTGTCAATGTAAATGATAACACAGTTTTTCATATCCGCAAAAATCTCGTTCATCATGCTCTGGAAGGTTGCCGGTGAATTGGTCAACCCAAAGAACATAACGAGGGGTTTAAAGGATCCTCAGTGGCACGTGAATGCGGCCTTCCAAGCATCAGTTTCTTTGATTTGTATGTTATTGTACCCCCATCTGAGATCCATCTTTGTCAAGATCTTGGCACCAGCCAATTTGTCTACTAGCTGACTGATCAAAGGCAGCGGATATGCATTTTTAACTGTGTGCTCATTCACGTAACGATAGTCCATAATCATATGCTTCTTACCATCCTTTTTAGGAATGAAGAACACTGGGGACGTCATAGGGCTTTTGGAAGGTCTGATGTAACCCTTCCTAAGCTGCTCATCTATGAAACTAGAAACCTCATCTCTTTCTGGAGCAGAGAGTGGTATCATGTGTCCTTTTCTCGGATTGAAGGTGTCTTTCAAATCTATAGCATGGTCCCAAGGCTTAGCCTCTGGGAAGCACTCTGATTTATGTTTTGAAAAGACTTTCCAGAAGTCATGGTACTCGGGAGGTACCAGCCTCTTAATCTCTTCTTCGGGTTTTACCTCATCATCGTCATCGTCAATCTTTTCTAAAGATCTGAGCTCATAAATGTGACCAGCGTTTATTTTTTCAAGACGCTCATTGTGACGGACGTAATTTGGCCTACCCAAGTTCACACACTCCTGAGGGCACTGTGACAATGTGACAACCCCTGTCTGCCGGTCAATCTCAGGATTGTGTTTAAATAGCCAGGTCCAGCCCAAGATTAAATTAATCTTCCCTAGTTGGGTAGCTTCGGCAGTGACTCGTTCTCTGTGTCCTTGGTGTTCGACAACAAAAGAACATTTGTGTGTGATGCAGCTACCCGCGTTAAGTGCACCATCAACGTTATAGATGGGAATAGATACATCTAATTTTACAAGGGGGAGTCCAATTTGCTCCGCCCAGGCTTGATCTATGAAGATTCCGTTAGTGCCTGAATCAAGCAGTGCGCTGGTTGGGTGTACTATGCCCCGGGCAAGGTTTTCCACACCAATGTCTAAACAGATCTCCTTATGGAATGAAGACGTGCACATCAACACACGCCTTGGGATTTTGGGAAAGGGTGGCTCCAACAAAGAAGAAGAGGTTTTGAAAGCTATATGTTTTTCTATTTTATTTTTACCAGAATCAAGCACCCTATTGTTTGTCTCGCCGGGGCCACGCTCCAAGGGAGACGCTGGTGCAGCGGTAGTATCATAAATATTACAGTCACAATGCTTCATACAGGTACAGGTTTCAGATAACAAATTTAGAAATTTATTTACAAATTGGGGAGCCATCCCCTTCTTTCCATTATTGCTCGTGCAACACCCCAGAGCAGGGGCCACCTTGTTGTGGTTTACTTCATTGTTCATAGGAGCGAAGGCACCCAAGTGACCTAAGCTCCAAACTCTTTTCCCTGAGCCTTCATTTCAGCAGCCTGCTGATCGTAGAAGAAGGCCCGGATTTTGTCGTAGGATCAACCGCCAGATTCTGGAGCTGATCGTCCGGTTTTTCGGATTCTAATTGGTGCGCCTGGCGCCCTTGATTATTTTTTTGTTGAGCGGCCTGCGCTCCTTTTCTGCAGTCTTGGGACATGTGTCCCTCTTGGCCGCAATTGTAGCAGTTCCCCTTGAATCTGCGCATCTGTCCTCCTTGGACCGCGCCAATATCCATGGGGGCTCCCTGGTCTGGTTGCAGCCCGAACAGCTTGAACCCGTGAGAATGATTATGATGGTTTGATGACCCAGGGTGCCTCTGGGATTGGTTGTTTTTGGTGGTCTTGCCACCTTGGTGCATTTTGTAGAGCTCTATGGCCCTACCTATTTTTTGAACCTCCTCTGCTGCTTGAGAGAGATTCTCATTTCTCATATCCTGCAGGTAAAGCTGTTCTGCAATGTGGGGGTTCACATTGCGTTCCAGCAGCTCTACTGCATGTTCATTACCAAGACCCCCTTGGATGGAGAGGGCCAGGAACCGGGTTACAAAATCATCCGTCCTCATGTTGCCTTGTTTGAAGGAACAGATTTGCTGACACGCCCAGTCACGCTCAGCTTGCAGCTTGAAATATATTTCAATCTCTACTTTGAGATTGTCCCGGGTGGGCCACACTCCCGCAGTGTAGCACTCCTGCATTCTAACTTGGGCGTATCGACCCACCACAGGTCCCTTTAGTCGAGATAGCACCGCAGTGGCTACCTCAAAATTGTCGGCAAATGCGTCCCAATTTGCCTTAACCCATATTTGGAGTTTGATCCACCACTTGGCAAATCGCTGTCATGCACCAAAGTTGATTGGTAGCATGGACAGGTGTCAAGAATGAAGCGAATATTCAAAAAGATTTGCCTTTGCGCCACACAGGCTTAGTGCCACGTGGAATAGTAATTAATATTGCCCTTTTTGAACTTGTGGCTGATCAGCACCACCTCTATTAGGCAATCCAGTCACGCTCACCTTTGCTTTTCCATTCGGTACTTTCCGCGTTTCGGCATTTCGGCAAATTTTCGCGTCGCCACTGGCTACACATTGCATTGCGCCCTCGCTTTTGTCATTTCCCTTACTCCCCTTCCTTTGCCTAGCCCCACCATGGGCCTCTTCCTCTCCTTTTTATTCTCACCTGACGGTCGTTTCTGGATCCCCATTCTAATCCACTTTTTTGTCACCTCCACCCTCCTCATCCTCATCTTATTTGCACCCCCACCATTTCTGATGTCACCACTTCCTATCCGCTTCCGTCGCCAATCCGTTGACTACCACGTGCCACTGCTGATATCAGCAAAGCCCCAGCCGCCGGTCCAAATAGGGCAACAGGTCCATCTTCATGACGTCGATCTGCCATCATATACTATCAAAACATCGGTCGCTCGTCTTGCCTGGTTGGAGCGTGGGTGGGTAGTTTTTGAGCTGGAGAAGGTTCATCCCCTTGCATCGCCCATGTTCATCGCTGTCCCATTCACTTGGGTACACTTATCTTTTGTCCATCGTCTTCGCTACAGCTACACCTACCACACGCTGCCTGGGACTCACTTGTTCCAAATTGGAACTACTCCTCTCCCTCCCTCATTTGATCAGGTGGTCCAACACAACCAGTCCATTGGTAAGGCCATGGAACTGTCGGATTTGGACTAGGTGGTGGACCAGTGGCTCCAGTTTCTTTTTCTTCAGCAGAACATTCATTTACAGTGCGATTATTTTTGATTTTTGAATCATTTTTATGGACACATATTTTTTAGAATGCCTGACTGACAATAAAGGAACTGTGTTGATACTGATAGTGTTTTGCCTTGCCCTTTTTTTACTGCATCTTCCCATGACATCATGATTTTCCTGCTCTCTTTTTGCTATTGGACTTTACTTTATGGCTGTACAAACCTGTGACATTACTCACAGCATTCATTGTTCTATCCCTTTCTTTTCCTTTTTTTGACAATCTTATCCTGTACTACCTATGCAGGATTTGTCAGCATACATTCCTTCCTTCATGTTCTTTCTCATTTTTTTTGCACAGCTATACTGTGCATAGCCTACTTTTCTTTCACTATATAAACCCCTGTATTTTACCTTGTAAAAAAACAACAAGAAATCAAATCCAGACTTCTTCTCTAATCTCAAGTTCACTACACTCTGCTACTTGTGATCCTGTGTGGTCACAACACTTCCCACTTCTACCACTGTCAACTGCTGTCATTGTCACTTCCCACTTTTGAAGTCATTGTCATCCCTTTCGATTAGAGTCCTTCTGAGCACTACAGTTTGTGCGTCAGGAGCCTGCTATCACTGGGAACCTCGTCATATTGTCGTTCTCAAACCTACCTTGTGCTACGATTAGCAAGGTAGTGCTCATCTATACTCGTCACCAAGCCCCTATCTTCTATCAATTCAACTATCCCTCCTCCTCAAAACCCACACTCATACATTTCTGGGTTTTACTTTGAAGGATCCTCATATATACCACCCCACGAACAACCAGAGCACCCACTGTTCTAGGAGGCAAAGCCCATAAACAAGTTCCGTGGAATCTGGGAGGATTGTGTGTTAGTTTGTTTTTGTGTGTGGTTTTCTAACAACAGTTCTCATCATCGACAATGGTTGTCCCAATTTGGTCTGCTTATTAAGCTATCAACCCTTCTCCCAACTGGTGGACACAAGTGTGCGGCCTGGTCAGAGGTAAGAGAATTTGAAACTAGGTAAAAAGAGACAGCTCCAATGGTTCCACACCAAGGAAGTTATTGTGATATAGAGGTATTTATAGGGGGATAGTGACAAAAGAGTCTTGGGAAGTGGTTGGTGATTGGTTGGTGGGGAAGAAGGATAGGACGGTGTTTGGGCAGGGTGGTAGGTGTGTGAGAGGGAGAATAGTAGTTTGTTGACGGTGATAGGTGAAGTGTAGGATGATGAATAGGGTGATGATGGCGAGGGTTAGGGAAATGATGATAATAGTTGCTGTTTGTATCATTGACAGTGTCAAGCTACAGTTGTTGATTGAGTGAAAGCTACACTCTATACCGAGTAAAAAGAAGTGCAACTATCAAATCGCCAACAGAGTCAAGAACAACAGTATAAAGATTAAATCAACAACTGAGGAATATGTACATGAAGAGGGCTGTATATATACTAACTAACATGAAGCGCTGACTGAGCAACACGTGTAAGGTGTGAGGCGCTTGGTAAGTATCTATGTCATAGGTCAGGTGACTAGATAAGATAAGATCAGCTTAGATAAGATAACAATTTTAGATAAGGTGAAACTATAGTAATAACGTCTTCGTCTGAGGTTTCGGGTTGGACTAGGGTTTGAGTTTAAGATCGTAACAGGTTCCTCTTACTATGTTGGATCCCCCTTACTACATCAGGGCATCTTGCACAGGGAAAGGGTGAGAGGAGTATATTAAGGTAAGTCTGTCATCCAACACTTTACATTTTGTTGACTCATCACCTCATCCCTACACACTCACCCCCTCAACATGACACAATTCCCCAATCCTGGCCGTTCAAATGCTTCTGCTGGAAAGGTATCCAAACATGCAGGAGATGATGGTCTAAAGGAGGACAGTATAGGTATACACCACCACTGACATACCCACCTGAATTACATTAACTCTTTTGCAGATGTTGTGTTGATGCTTTTGGAATCACTCACATTGGACGCCGACAATGCCAGGGTCCTACTGAATGCCGTGCTTAATTGCACTACCCAAGTCCTCGCAAATAACAACCACAGCAGTGCAGCTGTTGCACACTCCCCATCTCTCACTACAGCTGTAAAAGCTCCAGCATCCACCACTGCTCCCTCCACAGCTCTTCTTCCTACTTCTCCGGCACCTTCTAGTGTCGGGACCAGCACTGCCCCTCTCAGGATACCACTCACACCCAGACTGTGCCCAATATAGTCGTCAACATGGCAGGTCCCACCTCTGTCTATGGGGGGGGGGTTACTTTTCACGTACCTGCAGAGGGTTCCGTGGGGCCTTTCTATGTTGTTACAAAGGGGCGCAGGATTGGCATTTTTGCCGAGTGGTACGTCATTCACACGAAAAATCTTGACTCTCACAAAGCTAATTCATGATTATATCCAGGCTATCTACCTCACCACATGTTACAGGTGTCAGCCGCTCAATCTTCACATGTGTCCTCTCCCTCAAGGCCGGGATTCAAAGCATGTGCAATGCAATTGATGCTGGCCAGGTAAAGGTGTTAGTGTGAAGTATATGATCTCACTCATTGTCGCAGACTTTTTTGTTTTTTTCGTAACTTGTTCTTGTAATGACAATATTCTCGCTGCTCTCGTGTTCCCGCAATATACCGTACTCGACCGACCATTTGCTGTCACAAATATTGAATATCCCTTTTAAATTCATCTAATCATCGATCGGACAGTAATTTCAGCCACGATCACGCTTGAATTGGATCTTGGCGCGCCGCTACGGCTATTTACACATGTTTGAGCTTACTGTACAGTTTCAATCAGCCACATTGCCCAGAATCCTAACAATATACTCGGTTTGCCCAACGCTTCAAGAACTTCTTTTAAAATGTCGTCCGATCTCCAGTGGCTCCTTCTCCGCGTGCGTGGTGTATAAGATACAACCATTTGAAAATTTTTGACAAAATTCTTCCAACTATTGCAGAACCACAACTCCTTCATTGTGAAGCGTGTTCCGGAAGGTCCTGTCTTTTCAACAGAACCTGTAAGTTATATCCTGATTCCAGGGCTCAGTACTCTGACTCTTTGTAGGGCAACCTGCGCAATCTCCACTCCTACAAGTACTCCGGCTTAGCCAACGAAAAGGTCTGAATACCCATGTTCGTTCTCCGGGAGAACGAACCGTTAACAGTATGATATTTAGACTATCGACATCCGGGATTCAAGTTCAGGTATTCAAATCACCACACGCAAGAAGAAAGCCTCAACGCACAGCGTCCACTCGGCACGGTCTACCCTGACAGTTCGCAACCGATCGGGTGGCCGTCGCTCTCTTGGTGTCGCTGCTAGTTTAGCCAAGAAGGGATACCGCGCTGACCTTCGTGCTGTGAGTGTGAAACTATGTTCAAATTTCCGTCGATACAATTCTCTCTTCCTTTTCCTTATTACTTGTTTTGGACAACTATGATAGATCGACAACGCACTCTCGTTAGAACCCGCTGGAAACCACCGTAAGGTGTATGAAAGTTGGGCGTGGACATGTTTGCAATATTAAGAATCGTCTGGTCGATACCAGTGACCCCGCTCATAACCCATAGCGGAAGAACTTCAGATTCTTAGGCGATGACATATCTTCATATATTTTGCTATATTTCTTCGCGCTTGCGTATTGGCTTCAGGCATTTCTAAACTGCTTACTGACATAACTGTATTCGCATCGGTAGGCCGCTCTCGGTCGTGTCTCTGCCATCATTGCCACTCAGAAGGAGAAAAAACCTACGCCACCAAAGAAGGTTCGGGGGAAGAAGGCGCTCGAAGCATGATTCTGATTCCGTTCTATCCACCTTTATACGCTATGTTTACACATGACAAAACGAGAAATCTATGCCCATTAGGCTCATACTTTCAGACAATGGGAGCAGAATGCAATACAAATACAGCGTTGCACATTGTACAGTCAAGATGCGGAGATAATACACAGATTCTCAGAAAGATAAGGCTACTTGTTTCCCTTCATCACCACTCAACCTGTTTCATGTATTCAAATGGCAAAGGCTTTTCCCGAGGGCTGTGCAATCCGCCCTCCCGCGCCAAACGAATTCTTTGGGCCACTGTTTAAGTCTCTCGTAGGCCTAGTGCCTTCGATTTTCCGATAGATGCTCTCCTTCAGCCTGTTATCGTTGTCGTGATTCCCATGGCCATGTTTCTTCTCCTTCTTTGGCGCTTCTTCCTCTATATGGGGAGGTGCTTGTGCATGCTCCTCACCAGGAGGGGCCGGACGAGGGTAATCTGGATTTTCCTTTTGGCTAGTATTATCAGTTGGAGATGATCTGGTCCAAACATAGTAAGCATTCTGATCAACAGGACTTTTCTTTACATACGAGGTTGCATGTGATCTGGGTTTTGAAGAGACTGAAAGGCGACGACCACCGACTTTCACTACAACTTTGCTCAGGACGGTATACTGGACAAAGCAGAGGAACTCACTAGCGGGAGCATGCTGGGCCAAGTCTGTCATGATTCTGCAAGCAATGGGCAAGTAAGATAAGTGATTGAATTCTGTTGGGGGATATGAACAATGAGAAGAGCGCAGTTAGGGTCTGCATCACGGTCTTATAACTATGATGTTATGCACGTGAGCGGTCGTGATTTAAAGGTCGTCTGACCTGGCGGACCTCAGTCACCTTGGTTTGTTTCGAACATTGTCATCATCATAAACGCGTCTTTCTTTTCAAAAAGTACAGTGGCTTGCGATACGATCTCTTTGTCAGTATAGTTATATGAGGTTGCTATGTGCCAAAGTCAAGTAACACGTCCTGCTTCTCCCGTGAAAGGCGTTTTGGATAATAGCAGCGCCAGTAACGTCGACAACAAAGGTGAATCTGTGAAGAACTCGAAATATAAATCCTCCAAGCTCTCTGATGTGAAAGCTCGGAAAAGAAAGAGAAAGGGCGATAGTACTAGTATATTGGGTGGAAATGTTCTATTACACATTACATGGATAGATTTGTTGGGCATGACAGAGTATGAATCATTGGAGCAAAGGTCTGTCCTGTGGTTTCCACAAATATTTCCAAGGAATAACAAGTTCGCTTATACAGGCTGCACGACGAAATCGTTGCATTTACGAAATATGTCCAACCTATCCCAGGTATATGAGCTTGTATGCAAAATACTTCGACAACACTTCGGGAAATTCAACATCTGAATCCCCTTTTGTTATAGTGTGCATTCTCACATTGATGTAGTGACATCGATATTACTGTGCATACAAAGGTAGAGTCGGCGAACTTGAAGAAATGCCTATTTGATCTGTCACGGCGTGTCAGGCATCGTGCTAAAGTACCTATCTTTTCATTCCAGACGACACTGGCATTTGGTACGTGAACGGAAATTCATTAAAGATATTTCCTAATCCTTATCCATGTTTCATCCCCCCCTAGCGTCACTATACTTTGATATCAGTCTCAATAACAGTGGTCATTGTGCAGTCCCTGTTGTTAAAAGATATATGGACAGCATGCCAGCCCTAAAGCCCCTTACGCTTGTTGTTAAATGTTTCTTGCGACAGCACAAACTCAACGATGCTTCACTAGGCGGTCTCAGTAGCTATGCTATCTTTTGCATGATTATCAGTATGCTTCAAGTATGTTCTCCAGATATTTCATAAGACGAGCACTTACACCAACTGGAAAGCTTAACCCCTTTGTTAGACCTTGGGCTATGATAACTGCTCCCATGCAATCAGAATTTATTTTCTTATTATGGAACTTCGTTTCCTTATTCTACTTCTTATATCTCTCTCTATCTCACAATGCAAGTTAATACCCAAGGAGAAGTCGGAACCTGGGATCAGTATACGATGTCCTTTGAGTCCTGGTAAGTACTCGAGAGTAAAATTTTACAACGGTATTATATTACACGAGCTATACAGATCTTGACATTACCAAGTCATTGTGCAAATTGGACCAAATCACAGGTGTATTTCGAGAAGGATATACTGCATTGAAGAACATACCATTCTCTATGCACTGTTCCAATTATTTGGGTGTCATCCTCGGCGTTACTCAGGAGGTAAGCAGCTCTGCCATCGCAATGTATCTGGAGATCAAAGCGATAAAATCACCCAAAGGGAGCATATCCAGAATAATGTCAACTCGGGGATCCTGTCATCTAGTATTCAAGCGTTTCGTGCACAGAAAACATGTGCCCCTCCTGAGCGGTCTCGCACACGACCTCGCATCCATCAAGGTCTTCCAAAGGATCCGAGGCCCCTGGTGTCCTATGAATCTTTGTATCCCGAACGCGCGAGTCATCTTATGGAGAACCTGCATCAAAGCGGCAATGTTTGTGATAGCTGCTGCCTTATGATTGAGTGCTATCCGTCTCTTTTTATGTAGTGTACGCTGGGTATATATAAACCCCTAGTACAATATGGTACCTTTCTTTGTTGCACTACTAGTAGGGTATGCATCTCTCCAACTCATCACTGTAAAGCGAAGTGAGAGACGATCCCTCACGTAAGCGGTCGTAATTTAAAGGCTTCTCAGTCAAGCTCGCTTGTTTCGAGTACGCGTCTTGTCAAGCAGTACACCAGCTTTCTAAAATATTGACAGCGTCTCCTTGCTAGTAAAGTTGTACGAGGTTACTATGGGTCGAGGTCAAGTAACGCGTCTTGCTTCTCCACCAGCGAAAGATGTATCTGGCAACAGCAGCGCCAGTGATGTTGACAAGAAAGCTGAAACTGTGAAACGATCTGTTGCTGTAAAAAGTCGGAAAAGAAAGAGAGACCGTGACGATATTTTATGCACCGTGACTCCATGGATGAATTCGTTGGACGTGACGGAGTACAAGTCTTTGGAGCAGAGGTTTGTCCTACGGCTATCATGATGTTCTCGAGCTTGACAGATTCACTTTTGTAGGCTGCATCACGAAATCCTTGCATTTTTGAAATATGTCAATCCTATCCCTGAAGAAAAAGCTGCTCGCCAACAGGTTTATGAGCTTGTATGCAAAGTACTAAACCAGCGCTTCCAGGAATGTCAAATCCATTTGTGCGGTAGCGTTGCACAGGAGCTGCCTCTGCTTGACAGGTTTGTTGCATTCAAAGCCCCGCCCCCTCCTCGTAGAATCTCATCTTGGTACAGTGACATTGATATAACTCTCAATACAGACCCAGCGGATTGGAAGAAATGCACATCTGATCTGTCACAGAGGGTCAAAGACGTGGGCATGGCTGAAAATGTATTTGTCAAGCGTCGTTCTAGGATACCACGCATTTCATTTCAGACGACGCCAGCATCTGGTCCGTAATATTCATATTCATTATTGTCTATTGCAAGCTTCTGATCGCTGTTCGCCTTCTATCTTTATAGCTTCACTAAGAATCGATATACGCTTCAACAACAACAATCACCGAGCGGTCCCTGTTGTCAAAAGATATCCGGACAGCATGCCAGCTTTGAAACCACTCACACTTGTCATTAGATGCTTCTTGCGACAACGCACACTTGGTTCAGTAGGTGGGCTTCACAGTTATGTTATCTTTTGGATGGTTGTTAGTATGCTGCACGTATGTCCTCCAGATATCTTCTAAGACGGACACTTTTTTATTTTATTTTATTTTATTTTATTTTATCGACTGAAAGCTTAACCCCTTTGGTAGATCATGGGGCATCACGAACGCCCCCATGTCAACAGAATCTTTAGGCATTCTCCTTGCGGATTTTTTTTCTTACTATGGGACACTGTTCCCTTACGATACTTCTTACATCTCTATCATACAACGCAGTTTAATGCCTAAGGAGAATTCAGACAGCGGACTTGTTCTATATTGTCCCTTGAATCCCGGTACGTGTCCAGGAATATCCTGTCTTTATCTTACCTTAATGTCATGCGCATGAACTTTTCAGATTCGGACATTAACAAGTCATTTAACAAGTCGTCGAATAAGTTGGATCGAATTAAGGCTGCATTCCGACAAGGATATACCATTTTGAAGGATTCCACGCAACAATGCAGTGATTTGGGTGCCATCCTAGGTCTTATTCAAGAAGTGAGCGACACTGCCTATTTCTTCTTCCAGGAAATATGTTCTCAACGCGTTACATAGATGATCACCCAAAGAGAACATGTCCAACATACCGTAAATAATGGGAACCTGTCAGCAACGATTCAAGCATCGAATGCACTGGCACAAAAACCTTTCGACACCCCTGAGCGGTATCGTAAACGTCGTCATCCCCGTCAGAATCTGAAGAGCGCAAGGCGTCTTGTGCCCCACGAATCCTCGTACTCGGATTGCGAGGTTAACGAAGAACCTATGTCTAAGCGACAACGTTTGTGATAGTTGTTGCTTTATATACGCATTATCCGATCGCCAATTTATCCGAGCGAAAGAGTACAATATTGGTACTTTTGTTGCGCCAGATATATATGCATGTGTCCATAACATGTAGACAGCATAGGCAGTACAAGACATAATAAAGCTATGCTAGGACGAGTTGCTTACTCTTCCTCCTCCTCGTCACCACCTTCCTCCTTCTTAGCAGCGGCGGCAGCACGCTTGCGCTTGACGCGACCAGGACGTCCTCCACCATAAGGTGAAGTGAGTGCGAAGTCGATGTGTTTTTGGGAATCGAGACGAACGGTGAATGAAGGAATGTCAACGATTTGCTTGCCAACACTACATATCCTAGTTAGTCAAGTTCCTGATAATATTGTTTTATGCATACCGAATGTGGCGCTGTCGGATCAAGACACGGGCGTGGTGGATAGACTTGGCCAAACCAGTCTTGAACACTTGAGTCTGCAATCGACGCTCCAAGAAATCCTCGACTTTCAGTGCCAACACGTAATCGAGACGCATACGCGACTCATCAAGCACACCGATACGAACGAGACGACGGATAAGAGCGTTACCCTCGAACAGACGTTTAGGATCTTTGTCGTCGAGTTTCAGAAGCTCACGAGCAGCACGACGAATTTTGGAGAGGACAAGACCGATACGCCAGATTTCGCGCTTGTTGCGCAGACCGTACTCGCCGGCGAGCTATAGCATCTGGATTTGAGCTGCGTTTAATAAGCAAGATACCATGTATCGCACCTTAAGCTCAGCATCGAGGCGAGCAGAGCCGAAAGGTCGACGAGGGACCTTGTAACTGTTAAGTTAACATGATGGGGCACGGCTTTTGATTAGCTCTGTGCATTCCCTCCACAAAAGTGGATCTTGAAGATAGAAAAGTGCTCACGTCTTGCTATGATTTCGCGGGGCCCTGCACAAAACACGTTAATACCTTTGTATACGGTGACAGCGACGACATTACCTAGGCATATTTCTTGAGGATGGCGGCTTGACGAGGGACAACAGATAACCACCCAAATGGAAAGTTTTGCGGTTGCGCCACAACTGTAAAGTACCACACCCAGCCACTCGGCAGTATCCGGCTCTATCAACTTTTCCGTACTACTCCAGACCGTCAACGACACCGACGCCGACGACTGTAAGGGCTCTTTATCATTACTTGCATTTATCTGTTGAACATACTTTGCAGTCCTCAAGATGCCTCACTCATTCGGTTACAGAGCGCGTACGCGCCATATGTTCAAGCGGGGCTTCAAGGGTGCGGTCACACTATGGAGTTTATCGAGACATGTATTAACATGAGTGATAGAGCATGGCCCCGTCAAATTGTCGACCTTCCTCATCAACTACCGCGTAGGAGACATCGTCGACATCAAAGCTAATGCCGCACAACAAAAGGGTATGCCCCACAAATACTACCATGGGTGCGTGATCTACTTTCCAAACAGTCATTGATCAAAGTGATTTAAAATGGGATAATCTAGACGAACTGGTATTGTCTACAACGTTACTCCCCACGCTGTCGGTGTCATCGTCTACAAAGTCGTTGGCGGCCGCTACATCGAGAAGCGTGTCAACCTCCGTGTCGAGCACATCAGGCACTCGGGCTGTCGTCAGGAATTCTTGGACAGAGTACAACGGAACCACGCTGCACATGCCGCCGCAAAGGAGAAGGGCGGTGAGTTCTACTCAGACATTTGAACTTCTGAATGTTTATTGACTTATGATATTGTCACGCAATTAGAGCGGGTGTCGTTGAAGCGTGTTCACGCTCTGCCACGGGAGGCCCACACTGTCTCTTCCGCCCAAAATGCTCCCCAGACGATTGTACCTGTGCCATACGAGACTACCATTTAATGGCATACTCTACTTATTTCTCTGCTCGTTTTCATGAGGTTCAATTGTATGTCCGCATCATCTACTACCATTATGTGCCTATGCAATCAACAAGCACACCATGAACCGCCTGAAATGAGAACGTGAGACACCCTGATACACTAGTTCACTTGAGATTACTACAAACTGATTGGACCCACTTTAACGTAAGGAAGTCTGGTCAAACTACGGCACGCGAGTTAAAGATCCGTCATGTCGACATCGCATGATCTCTTCAGATGTACGACAAAGTGCAGTACTTGCATCCTTGCTTCTGTCCTTCACGTGTGCGACCCAGGATTCTCATTAATATGCTTTGTATGGCGCTACATTCCGCAGCAGTTCTCCATTTCCAGGCTTTCGACGCTCATGATCCCTGGGCGTTCTTTGGCTCAGTGAAATAACTAACGATATCCACAATGCCAGCTCAAGGACCTTCTGATCATACCTCATATTGGGCAAAAGAGTTCAATATCACGGACATCAGTAAAAATCGCTCCCGATGGAACAAAGACTGGGAAAAGGTGATCAGTGCTCATGAACAGAAGCCGAGTGAGGTCTACAAAGCAATGTTGGCCTCTGGGCGGGAGCGTGGGGTATCAGCGTTGAACGAAGCGCAGTTCAAGTCTGTGCAAGTTGGATTTGTGGGCATACAAGAACGAGTGTTGGTATGTCTAGGCAGAACGACGCAAGATAAAGGCGGCCTCGATCCAATATGGGTGTTTCTAGATGACTCTGAGCGCAAAAAACACTTGATGTTGGGATTGGAGAAGGCTTGTGAAGAGTCTTTCTGGGGACAGGATGCTCGTGCCATGTGTCCAGAGATCAGTGTTAGGCGCTTGGGGAAAGATATGGGAAGGCCTTTCACCGACCTGGTGAAGCGCTTCTTGGAGGCAAAGAAAACCATTGACAAGGACAGAGTCCCATTTTACCTTCCTAGCCCCTGGTGGGATCGGGCTCTCGAAGAAGCTCCTAAACCTCTATCGAAGAGAAACAGGTTCATGTACAACTTCCTCACACTCACCAGAAATGAGTTTATTTGTGAGTGATGAATCTTTGGAGGCGCATATATTCGAGGTGCTTTATAAGTATGCGAGACAGCTCATGGAACGCGTTTTCAGGTATTTTCTTGACACGTGCTATGCAATCAATTGCACGGGATGTAGTTTTGGGGAGCAAAGGAATGGACAAAGTTATAGATTTCATGCGCGATACGCCCTATCAGGTCGCCTTGAGCTCTGCCAGGGCCCTGTCGAGCATGCGCGAGAAACCGCCAATGCGTTGCCAGACCTGTTCACGCAGTTCCGATGGCGATTTCGGAGGGAAGACACATTTTATGGTTTGCAGCACGTGCAAATCAAAATTGGATTTCAGTGTACACTATTGTTCGCAGTGAGTATCCAATCGTCGTTGTTGATAATATTTTTACCCATTCTGAAATGAAACCCCATAAGAAAATGCCAAAAGGTAGACTGGCCTGACCACAAGCCGAATTGTGGCAAGAAAAAAGTCATAAAAGTACATGAAGGGACTTCAGCTGATGACAACTTGCGGGACTGTTCCCCAGAGGTAGCAGCGCTCTTGAAAGATGTTCCTATTGATCCAAGTGGCACGTTCAACATCTCATCCATCGGTTCTGGCGAGCCTCGATATCAACGCTCTTCTGCTTTGCAATATCAAGTGTCGCTAATCGACGCGGACAAGGAGGTAGAGTACGTACTGTTCACTCCATCTGGATTCCCAATACGCTTCTTCATTAACAACCGCGATGACTATGAAACATGGACGAGGATCAATTTTCGCATTGTACGCAAGATGGCGATGTCGAGTGCTCGTCAGGATGGTCTCGCACCAATGGCTGAGCACTTGATTAAACATGCGGAAAATTTACCTGGACTGAGTCGGGACATTATCATGAGGCAATTATGCGCAGAGTACGGCGCGGAGACGGAAACCAAAGTGTCTAAGCTTGAGAAGCAGAGCGCTCTGACAGGACACGGTCTCACTCTCGTAGAATCTATGAGCAGGCTATCGACCAAAGTGGGTCCGCGATTAGCAGAAAAGAGGTCAAAGAACGTACGTGTTCAATCGTATTTAATACCAATCCCACCAGCTCAAGTAACGACCACAGAAATAAGAATAAAAGCTATCGTTTATCCATCTCAGCATGTATTAGAAGTGCTGATTCGAAGCCTTCTTATACTTATCGCGCTGGTCCCACTTGTCAGCTATCTTGCCAGCAAATTCGACTCCTCCAATGTTATCTTATTATTTTGCTATCTGTATTTATCTCGATTAGCCACTGCATTTCCTCAGTTGTACTGTCACTTTTGTATCAAATCGGACTTGCTATCCACGTATGCTGCAAAAAAATACGAATAATCGCGAACTCATACAATACAGTCGACTAGACTGTCAAGTACGAACGCGTTGACATATGAGAGGCATATGATTTGCGTCTAGTCATTCGTCCATACAAACGAAGGCATATTATGGCGTTGAAGTATCATTGAAGAACATAACTCTAAGGCGACCGGTGACAGATTTCATGACGTTAATCTCATATCCGAAGAGACTTTTGGATTAATGAAGCAATTAAGACAAATTGTATTCGTGCAGACATTGCATCTACTGCTCATTTATGGTCAGTACTCCGGGATTTGTGAATTGAAAAAGGGATTATGCATACAAAGTAAAGCCAAACATGAAGATCCTTTCCTTTTTCTTATGAAGTGTAAAGTTCCTCTTTTGTTACTATGCCTAGTTATCGAGGGTGAAATTTTAGGAAAAAAATAAGACCAAGTAAAAGCAGCACTACTAAGAAATATACTGACCAAGCTCTTCTCTTACACCCTTAAGCTCGTCCATATATGCCTGATATTGCTGCTTGTTCTCGACCTTTTCCCTGATACCCTCAAACACCCTGACGGCGGTCGCATAGTCGTTGACGCGGCGAGCAGCACGGATGGCAGCCTCGACGACGTTGGGCGACGGCACCAGGTCGTGTGCGAAGCAATTGTTGAGACCGCGCTGAACCTCGAAAAGGTCCTGTGCACCCTGGAAGAACGCGACGTAGCGCTCAGAGAAAGCCTCAAATGACTCCTGGCCATGTGCATCAGACGAAGAGAAACGAGAGGGAGCGATGGTGCGGGCGCGGTTGAGGAGGAGGAAGGAGGGCCGTGCGCGCATGGCGGAGGCGAGCATTCGAGTGTGCATGGTGGTGAGTGAGCGTAGGTGAGGGCGGCAGCGACAGAGACAAGCGGGTCAAAGAGGAAATGCGGTGATAAACGTAAATTGTTGCCTTTTCCGATCGGAACGAACCGGACTTTGCTGCCTGTCTCCAACCGCCACCTCCGCAACCTACACTATGGCTAGGCTTATCATCTCTGAGCATTGTTCTTCAAAAGATTCCTAATCAAAGCAGCAATGCCAACTTGAAGGCAATAACAGTCCATTTCACAATCACATTATGCCTAATTTATTGATGTCCTCGTCTTATCGAGAAATAGCAAAGTCCACAAAAGCAAATATCCATGATCACTATAGTTCGTGAATAAAAAGGCTACTTCGAAAGAAAAATGCAATTAAACGAGTAATGACCAATAATCCATAAGCAAAATTGCAGATAAGATAAGTATGGAACTGTCTATGAGTTTGAACTGGGTCAAGATCAGAAGGTCGGATTCAGCTAAAACCAACACCATATTGTCCAATCAAATGCGAACAGGCCAAGGATACCAGTTAGACGTGAATAGGAAATAAAGAGATGAAGTCTGTTCGAATATCCAATTTATATCACCGTTAAATCAACACTTCGCCTTTCCTAGTGGCCTAGGTCGATTAGAATCCGACAACAGCTCCTCCAATTAGCCCTCCTACAACCACGGTCACAATCCCCCCCAAGATGGCCGCCCCAGGAATGCCCAGGCCAACGCCACCATTACCATTAAAGGGATCGTACGTAGGAGTTGCAGATGGCCCAGAGCTAGACCCGAAACCGCCGCCAGTGCCACCCCCTGTGAGATTTGCACCATTTGGCTGAAAAAACGAAGTCAGCGAGTTGGATTCAAAATAGACTCGAGATATACGCACTCCTATGGGCCTCGAGTTGTCTGTGAATGCACATGTCGACGAGGTGCAGCTACATTGTCCGGCAATAGGATCCCAAAAAGGCGTCGAGCAGTTTGCAGGAACTAAATAAGTGAGTATGCAGCATCGTCAAGTCAGATGTATTAAATGGGAAATGAGCAAATAAGGTAAGTCGCGGAGCAGTCAGCAAGAATAGATGAACTGCAAGAACTGAACTCACGTCTGTATCGAGCTTGCTGACCCTGTGGAACTTGCTGAGGAGGATTAGGGTTACCAGGAGAAACCTCAACCTCTGGACATCCGTACTGCGAAGAACAAGCCAAGTCAGCTTCTCGTCTCTGGGGAGAAAGAAGTCGGGGGACCCCTTGATGGCAGGTCATCCGGGTAATATTACTTACACAAGTATAGAACGGGAAGTCGGAGAAATCGCAATGACTCAACAGACCCGCCTCATTCTGAGGCATTCCATTGCAAATTTTCTTCGACGCGTCTACGGAAGGTGTAGGGCACTTGAGAGCGTCGACAGAGCTGAGTTGAGAGACGGGAACAGGGTTCTGTACCCAAGCAAGTAGTTGCTCGTTAGATACTATCCAGACTACAGGCCAAAAAAAAAATGGAACAAAAATAAATAATTTTGAGTAGAAGGAGAGAATTGTCAGATCATTCAAACTGAGGGGAGATCGATGAAGGTACATACCATTCTGCTGCTCTTGCGCCCAATCAAGGAATGCATTTATCATCTGGATAGTCGAGTTGGGGGGGTTGACACCAGGGTAGGTCGTCTGAATATGCGGAATTTACACCCGTATCCCATTCAGAAGATTGTAGACGCAACAGAGCGAAGACAGACAAAAATAAAAACAGGGCGTGAGAGCAAACTTTTTATAAACATGTTTGTCACTCACAGAAAGATGAATAGGATGCGTATAAAGCCCAATAGGTTGACGGTTGCCATTGTAGTGCGCAGTGAACGTGCTCTTCATATAATTGAACGTGGCCGTGTCATTAACCGTGCTTCCACCGTTCGCTGCATCACTAACGTTGCCTCCGTCAGCTTTCACTGATGTCAGGAAGAATCTAAGCATAGCTGCTTACAGCCACGGGTCCATCAAGTGTGGTCCGTTTATCCCCAAATCATCGAAGAACGCATACATCGGTATCTCCCAAAATCCAGGAAGTTTGGGTTCGCCTTTGCATAAACCTTCGACGGACAAGCAGTCATTTGCAAAACCATTGTCAAGAGTGTATGGCCACCATGCGTCCGTGCCAGAGTCTGTGACAGGTATGGATGCCGCAGACGAAGAGTCGTAGGTGAACTCGGATGCAGCAAGTAATTGAAGAGTCTCTGCGCTGTAATTAAGGTAGGGAGCACGGAAGCCTTTGATAGACGTTAACGGGATACCAGCGAGTGCATTCAAAGCAATGAGGTTGCCGTTGATTTCTTCCACTGGTGGAGTACCGACATGAGTCATACTAGAAGGAAATCAATCCATGTTGTCACATAGGGGTAAACAGGAACGACTCACGTATGGTCAGCAATTTCATTGCCAGCTACAAACCAATCCGTGACAAGCGTATAGTTAGTGTAGTTGAGGGAGGTAAAGTATGTCATTTTGATAGGACAGCCGTTGGGATTTTTACGCTGTGCCAGGAACTGATTGACAGCGTCAAGGGTGTAGGATTGGACGGCATCGTCAGCACTGAAGACGACGAACTGCGGAACCTCGGACTGCACAAATACACAACTCTAGGTCGCTAATGAGGAACATTATGGTATGTGGTGTTACTTACGGGTGACAGTCCACCTGGCGGACTGGTGCTGGCACAATTACAGGTCGGTAGCTTACACGTCGACGGGTCACATGAGTACCCTGCGGCAGATGAGCTGGACGTTGGGCCTGATATTGAACCATCCTGTGCTGCAACGATGGCAAACAGCGCGGCCGTGGCAAGGAAAGAAAGTGTTTGGGTGAGCATGATGCTCTAGAAAAGTCCTGCTAAAGATTGAGAGCAAGTGATTTTTAGTGCTATTATTGATAAAATAATAATAAGGTCTCTTGGTTAGAGATACGACGAAATGAAAGGAGAGAAAGAGGGAGAGAGGTGTGTGGTGGGACGATATAAAAGCTCTGCCTATTCGCCAGCGAAGACGTATTTCCGAAAAATAGCAGATGGGTGGCTTACAAAGCAGCCAAGGATTCCCTTCGCAACGACTAGGCCATCTTCGCACATCGAGCTCACCATTGCGAACGACGAACACGACTCTTCCACAGATATCTGACGCTCTAAGAAAGAGCACAGCTCCAGGAAACCCAAAACGCTTACATTTATAACCAGCCAGTGTAATTATAGCTGGGGTTACCATTATAAGTAGTCCTTGCTCCATCATATCTCAGGCTTGTCCTCACGCCACGACCATTCCTTCCGTACGTGTACATTGCCTCCACTAAATGGACGACGTTAACGTTGACAGTAACGACACAGCGTCAACTTTTAGCGTTCAGCGTTACTTCTATGGGTTGGAGGCTGTTGGGGGGCCATTCACAGGACACAGGTACGCACTATACATCCCGATCAAAAATATGATCTGATTGATACTTACTAGAGCCGCTGACTTAGCGTTTTCCTTATCTATTGGACAGACACAGCACAAGTGTATCACATCTACCCGAGCCTAAGCAACCCAGTGAGGACAAGAAAGGCCTCGTTCGTATATACTACAACATCAGCTGATACACGCCGACATCTAACCAACGATCAAATTTCCTTCCCACACCTCGAAGCACGCCGCACTGTTTGAATCCTTGCTTTTCCCAGAACCTAACGTTTATTTCATTTTCCATTGCCACCATCGCTATAGATGGTGTATCAAAACAAAGCGTGATAAAACGGCAGAGCTTGCAATGCACTCGAGTCGAACTCACCTAATATAGTGCGATATCCGCGTTTACGAGCTTCAGGGAGTATATCGTTTATCAATTTGGTTCCAAGGCCTCTTCCTCGGAAACCTTCCTGGATATAGAGACTTATCTCTACCGTGCTGTACAAATGGTGTGGTCAGTTAACTTTCTCAGGGTCGAGATAGGTGCAGTAACCAACTTGATATATCCCTGCAGAGATCTATAGCATGACAAATTACACCAACCGAGGACTCTAGTTACTTTGGCCGTAGTCTCGCTTTCCCTATTGGAAAATTCAATCGATTCTGCCACGAAACATGGGTAATTATCTTTAGCAAGACCAACCAGCCACTCTCGTCGCTCAGCGAGGTCGACGGGATCAGTACGGAACGTAGCTGTCGAAGTCAAAATCGCCCCATTCAATATGACCATAGCGACAGGAAGATCGTCTGCGATCATGGGGCGAATGACCACTGCGGGACCAGCTGAAGATGTAGCCATTGTGAAGACTCGATGATGTTTCTCCGGCAGGCTTTATAAATATTGATTGAACAGTGATTCAACCCAAGGCGGTTCAGGCCTACCGGGGGTTCTATCGGCAACTCGGATACTGTTTAATAGCTCACGACAGCCAAATGCGGAAAGCTCTGGATTCAATTACCCGTATCCGACATCGAAATCCTTCAGTGAAGATTCGATTCAATGGAGGAGACAGTCTGATTCAAATGATGGTATAACATTCAGTAAGTTGTTGGTACTTTGGAATGCCTTCGACCGGACATGATACTTATCCTAAACTGGCGTTTGGGTCGGAAATTCGAGGGTGTATGGAGAGCATTTGATGCGATGTGTCAGGCTGGAACAAGATGGTAGGTCCGAACAAATTTTCCATGATCTATGCTAAACACTACACAGCATACATATGGATAGACTCATCCTGCATGAGAGGGAGGGGTGAGCGTTCGTCAAGCACTGGTAATCGTGTCTATTCCCAGTCATCCGATTAATGTTTTTCGATAAGGTCCTCATCGTAGCCATGGCACTGGGTAATATGAACCTTATTGTTATTCCGGTACGTTCTGGTATTGGGTGGAAATCATGATCATGATGCAGCTTACTCATACTAGGTTGGATATATTGACACTAAGGATTGCGCACAAATCGTATTGCATAGCATCTTAGCATCTCAAACACCACTCAACCGTCATCAGAGCAGCAATTGCGGCATGTCACGCATTATCGTCAATAAAAGTGCAGGAGAAAATGTACTCGTGTCCTATCCGAAAAGAGGATCTTCCCAGTTAGAGATTTTGTAGAACGGGATCTCTGAATGGTCAGCATTGGTAGCAGGTCATTTATATTGCACGTTGTATGTCAGTTTCCGGTGATCAATCACGATCAGTGTTGTTGACAAAGATCGGGCTTGACGGCGAGGCTGCATCTTACAAGGTCTTGAGAACAAATGCAACTCCGTCCTGTTTAGAGCAACTGACTTGCCGTGTGGAAACATAGTTGCGTTCGGAACACTCCGATAAGGATCCCAGGCGTTTATCCATACACTGAACATGATGGTCCTTCGACCCTGTGTTCATCGAGTATGCCACATAATTCGCATCAATTCAAATTGGGTACTCGCCTGCTGTGCTTTTACCTTACCATCTATTTGTGAATCGATTGGCTTGCTTGCCTGTATCCTGTCCAAGCGTCGAAATCCTATTTAAGGTGTGCCAATGTTCCCATCTTCGAAGCATCATTTCAAAGCAAAGTCGCCATGGTGAGTATCTGTATACTATGAGATCCTGTACAATAGCAGCATTAACTGGAACAGTCATTCCAGATAATACAATGATCACAGCAGTTATATTGGCTATCTTCGTGATGATACTGGGCACAAGTCTCTTGGTCAGCCACGGTCTTCTGATGATCTTACAAGAACTTTCTTGTTTCTTGGCAGAATAGTCTTCTTCGGACATTTGAAGCCCAACATCAGGCGACTTTGGCAACGAGGGGCTGAGCCTCTCTAGGAATAGTACATATAAAGCGGACGTGTTAATAGGTTGATGGCTTGTATATTCGTATTCGCTTAGGCTTGTACTCCAGACAGACAGACAAGATGTCTTCAAGTAGTCCGACATTCGTTTCAGGCTTGCGTGTCACACAGGTGAGTACAGTTCCGGGAGGTCGGTCAATGTAAAATAAATCATTTATTTAGTATTTCAACGGTTCGTACCATATTGAAGTCTCCCGAATAGAGCTCATCGTTCCAGTTTTCCGGGTAACCAGTTGCAGGGCTGGTAATATTGGTAAGAGCTCTATAGTACATTGGACACCGCTGGGCTGCTGATAGGTCACCAGATTTACGACTATTGTATTACACTGGGGGCTGAGGTATGTGTATTCTACTTCCAGGCTGGCCATTGTCTTGATAGTCAAAATTAGGTGCTTTGGATTTGGGGAAGACGATGGGATATCACGCGGGTCACCTTTACAGTCGCGCGTTATCTAGCGTTCTTAGGCGCCATATTGACTGTGTACTGTAAGTTTGTTCTATTCTTTATCCCGTAGTCTTCTGATATGTCTGGACAGCTGCTGTAACAACACGTACCGGTAATGTCAGTTGCCTGACTTTCAACAGAATATTTCACTGAGTGTATACGTTTGACAGTGTTCACCCTTCAGTGACGTTAATAATGGTTAGTTCGACATCTTTTAGACTCATGACGCTGTATCCCCTTAAACTGATCCACAAAAAGTTATACACATATTTGCAATTGTGGCTGCAGAAGGTCATTTCTGCAGATGGGGAAACAGTGTAACTACGCTAACGTAGAATCATTGCCGTACAGGTCTGCTCATTCAACGTACCTACAGGTTTTGGAACGGTAGCAAGCGATTGCTAGTATGGCTTTTGGGATTTACTGTCGTATGTGATTTAGAACATAAGCCGTTGTATACTCATACCTACCAAGTTACAGATATTAATTGTAATTGTCGTCGTCGTTCCAAATCTAGTGCACATTTCACATATCTACAGTAGGTGTTCTTTCCTATGGATCGTATCTAGTCAAGACTGAGACTATCATGAAGGCGATCCCGGTGGTTGTATTTTCGTTGGAAACAGAACAGATATTATCATGTATGGTGCTCTGTTACTATATCAATTTAGTGAGCTTGTCGTTACTCTCTGTCCTATCATGCCACTTATATTTTGTTGGGTCTTCAGTTTTGATATGTTTGATCATATGCAGCCCCATGACCATGAACATATATCGTGACACACTTATGTATATTGCTTGTATTACCTGTGAGGTTATACTCCTCTTTCACTTGCTGCTACTAATGGCATAACTTGATTTCTAGCAATAACAATAATCAACACAGGCGTTGTTGCTTCGGTTCCTGTAAGTTCCTTATCAGATTCCTTCGCGGATTTAATTTGACTCCTATCATTCATCAGGCAGGCTACATCAGTATGTTTGCTACGTATGTTCCTGCCATCTCCTCTCTCAGCCGCACTTACATGAAATTCACAGGTTGCAAATGGTTTTGCATAGTGTTCTTTCCTCTCGCATTCTATTCAACCTCCGTCAGACTGAAGCCCTGGAACTTCAACGTGCGATATACTGATGCTTCTGGTGAAATTCGATACTTGTGTGTTATTTCACTGGTCGGAAACGCTTTTACATATTACGAGGTTTCTCCCAGAGAATGCCGAATTCGTTCGCGTTCGCTTTGTTATGGTGTTGGATAATGATGACATATAGATGCAGACCGCACACAAGCAACTATTTTGCTCAAGGGATATAATATGATCGGTCGGTTCATATACTAGGCTACAGGTCTTTCACATGTATTTGGATTCTTTGTCACATTCAGATAGACGACTTTTGTCGAACAGTTAAATTAGAATACAACAAACAACTCAGGCTCCTCCACAGCCACTGTTTCGAGAGAGGAGGATGAGTGCTAGTGAGTTCAGGACAAGGCATATTAATAGATAGTCACATGATTATGATAATTTCAAAGTCAGCACAACTTTATTCCTCGCTCTCTCTCCACAGCGGCTGCAAATTAACATTGGTAAACAAAGGCTCGCCACAGTGACAGTGATGAGCCTCGACATCGGCTACCATCGGACATCAAAAATCAATTGCAGACCGATTAATGATGTCAAGCACGAGCCAATATAGGCAAGTAAGTTCACAATAATCTCAGTGCCCCACTCTATCAGTCTGTAATCGATCATGTACTCAACCGCATCGCTGATTGAGCAATTATCACTCTGTGAAGTGCCGCCTTCTGATCTGATTGTCTCAATTCTTCAAGATGACCAATATGCTAGTCATCCGGTGGTCATAGACTTAGTAGTGCACAGGGCATGGATTATTGAAGCACTAGCAGGTCACGATCCCAATCCAACAAACCAGCCATTGCGGTGGAGCCAAAAGATGGTTCGAAATGCATGCCAGTCCGAACTCCAAACCCTGAGCACAAAGGAAAATCAGTGGCATTTCAATGCATCTAATGCATCAGCAGAACAGGTCGAGCAATTCTGTCTCAAAGATATGGCTCGGCAGTTCCAAAGCAGCGCACCTCTCCTTTGGGACTTACTCGAGAGTTTTCTATCTGCTAATTCATGCCCTACAGATCCAGACCTTGGCCACGGAAGATGTTGATGTTGCAGCACTTAATGAGTTAGAAGAAGAATACTGGGCACAAGTAGATGAACTTGACTTAGAAGGCATGGTTGAGGCTGCGATCGACAAGCCTGGAAATTGAGAGCAAAAGCATCAAGAAAGACGGAAAAATGTGGTGGCATTGGTACATTATTCTGTCTCTTCTCTCAAGCTTGTAACCTATAGGTACAATAGAAAAAAGTCATAATACTCAGTATACTCATGCAAAGCTCGAACCAAAAATCAAACGCGCTCCAAAGTATCATTGGTATATTCCTCCACTCATCCCATACTCCAGCAAAAGTTGTCGACACTCTTTCACGAATGGGCCTTTCTGTTTCGTTGTATTTGGTTCAAAGTGCCATTTGCTCTCTTGCCTCAAAATCTCATGAACGACTCACCGCACTTGGACAAACCCTTCTTGCGTTGTATGCTTACAACAATTTTGATGTTGACCTGAAGTCTTATATACCGACAGTTGAGCGATCTAACGAATCCCTGAAACATTTGACTTCCGGCTTAGTCTTTCCTCTCCAACACAATATTACATGCGGAGACTTGAAATGCTCAAAAGACCTCTGGGCTCAATCCGAGCTCAATTCTCTCACTAACCAAACTACTCTCTCATCCAAGAGGTCATACAAAGATCTCCTACGCCTTCACTCCGACACTCCTAATTTACAGGGACTCAATTCTCAGCAACAATTCAATTCTTGGAAGTTCTTACACAATCTGCGTTATCATGGCCCTGAATACTTTGCCTACTTCCAATCAAAACTCAAGGAACCAAAACCTATTGAGTCTATACCCTTGGTAAAAACTCCAATCCTTGCAGCACGGGCAATGTATATCAATAACTTGACAGTTGCAGGGAACATACGTGCAGTGGAAGCTTTGATGGGTCAAGGTGGTTTTGAGGAAGAATCCGAGGAGGCTGTTGAATTAGAGGAATATGTGGTGCTATTTCATGGAGACCTTGGAACTGGCGAGAGACTATAAGCAGTGCAACAACGTCGTGCCATTGAGGACACACCTTGGAACCGATTCCAACATGTAGTATTTGTACCCGGCCTTTTTCATTTGAAGATGGCTTGTGCAGATGCTATGTGGCACATTTTTATACAGGCCTCTGGGAGAAAGTGTTATGATAACACAATTTTTGGACCTTCCCTTTATTTTCATTCTCCGCCTTAAACCTTGTACTTTAGCCTTCACACATGGTGCCATGCGGCACTTCCCCTTTCTCGCGCTGCATTGCCTTTCTTTTTATTTTAGACACAACTCTCTCACACAGTGGAGCTGGCCATGCGGGCTAGGCCCCATGACATCATCAGCCACTGTCTCTATCAACTGTATAGTACACATGTACAAATAACCCTGTAGTAGTATATATACCCCAATAGATCCAGGAGACTCCTCAGCGAGTCCTCCTGTTGTTAACCAACAAACTCTCTGCAGCCTAAGGGGTAACCACTCCCTCTTCATCTTCCTTATAGTGTGTTTCTGTGTGCGCCAGAGTAACTAACTCTTGGCTGTTACAGCAAGAGAAGATGATACGAGTTTGATGCGGGACATTTCTCACCTGCGCCCCAAAGAAACAGGTATATTTGGCTCAAAACCAGGATTTCGCCGCATGCACCAAGTCATTAGCCATGCAGGGACTTGTTGCCGTCTCTATTGTTGGTGAACAGAAGCTTATGCACACAACCCAGCCCATTCTACTCTAGAAAAATTTGCCAGCTCCAACCCTAGCTTCGAGCAAATACAAGAGATAGCACAGCACCTTGCAAAGGCATACATTTCCAACCACAAGATATCCGACATGAGAGATCAACCCCCGAGCATCAGAGACCGGCAATAAGAGAATAGCCTTTTGTTCAACAAATATGCATTATTGTATGAAGAGCTATCTTATGCAATGAATATAGGAGACATAGGTCGTGCCGAGCAATGTATTATCCAATGGATCATCATTTTCAAGGCAACAGGAAAGCATAAGTATGCCAGCCATATGACAAGCTTCCTTCTTAATGTTCACTTTAAATATCCACCTGGCCTCAGGTGCGTCTATGTCTGTTTCCATTGAATAACATTGTGTAGTACTGACAGCAACAAATTAGACGGGCCATTTGTTACAACATTCTGGTCAATCCCACGGGGCAGGCTTGTAAATTTTGAGGTGTTGATTGGTGTGTAGAGCTATATAACCTGTTTACAAAAGTGCGCAATGGAGGAGAAGGTCCCAGCCGAATGGTTAATAGGATTGTGATGGAGTCAATACTCGTCCAAGTTTTTCGCAATACGCACACAACAATAAAACGATACTTCCTCAGCACCTACTTGACAGTCGCACATGCAGATCCCAACATGAAAAAAAATTTAAAGTGCTTATGAATCATCTTGGGACTTGTTCACCTCACAGAGTCCAACCGGGTCGTAAAACGAGGCTGCAAATCAATGATTTATTTGACAAGGGACTAAATCTAATAGACAGGGATGAATATGCTGTAAAAAATGACGAGGAGATAGTGACAGAGGACAGTGATATAGCTATGGATGATATATTGGTAGAGATGATATAGATTATGAGGAACGGGTAGTAGGTTGCTATTTGAGCACAGGTTAATGCTACACAACTTGGCACTAAAAGTGGGACTTACATTCTCTTTATCTACACGAGATGGATGTTTAGCGCAGACTCGGTTTTGAACTAAAAAATCATCGGTTAGTTTACTGTTTAATGATCAATAGAAAATAACTTACTATTGTGTCCTTCAACTCCACAGGCCCAACACTTATTCTTGCGAGGTACTGTAGGAGTGACAATAGCGGTGTGAGTCGCAACAGTACCAGGCGAGCGAGATGGCAGTGGTGTAGACACGAGTGGAGGGCGAGTCTGAGGCGGCGGCACAACCAACAAGACCACCGGAACTACCTCCTGGCCATATTCCAGGCAGCCTTGCCACCTTGTTTCCTTGTTCAAGTCCTTGACACTTTGAATCTTGAAGTGGTGTGCGCAATCAACAATCCGGGTGAGTGTATCATTGCTCATGACAAGAGATGGCCCTATATTGACCAAATGGGCCTCTCTATAAACCTCCTTAGTCTTGTCCTCCCTCCAACTTTTAAGTGCGGTGCGTAGAGTGAGGTCAGTTGTTTCCATTTTATAGGTAGTCACTCTAGAGCGGTTGGAAGGTCTGGGAAATTTGGGGATGGGGTTGTGGTGAAAACGGTCAAAGAAAGCAGGTTGATGGAGGTCACAGCAGACTGTGGGCTGTGGTAATGAGCAATGGTTGCAGCCTTCAGCTTTTGAAGAGTCACAGTCAATGTGGTCCGTCTCTAAAGAGATAGTGTGAAAAGAGAACCAGAACTAGAATAGGAACTTAATGTTCTCACCGGCAGATTCATTGTCAAACCATGCGTGGAACACTTTTCTTCTACATTTGAAACCAGGACGCCCATCTGCGTTTATGAAGTAGTCCATGCCAGTGTCCAGCTCATTTTTGGACTGTTTGTGCGTGCCCACTCTCCCTTTGTTTGTACTGCACTCTAAGGCTTGCTTGAGTACTTCCATATCATCCGCTGGTGCGTCAACTACCATTTCCTGGCTGCTATACTCATCTGACTCCTCTCCCAACTCACTTTCAGGAGGTAGGTTGGGGAGACTTTGAGCCGGTGTTGGTATTGATCCAGAAGCGGTAAGTGCCAGCCGTTTGGCTGGCATTTGCGGTGTACCAGCTGACTTCCTTTTTTTCAGTCGTTTTTCTTTTCTCTCCTCCTTCTTCTGACGCTCATCATCAAAAAACTCTTTTTCAGCGAAAATTATGGCCATGCCTTGAAGCCGCCTGTCGCGAACAAGACATCCAATACGTTGCCACAGAGTAACCAGTGTAAGTTTCACTTTCTTGGCGTGTCCAGCAATGCGCCACTGGATCATTATCTTGATATCAGGTATGTCCATCCCCTTTATCAGATTCTTAGTGCTGATTATTTCTTTTGCCGATAATTTCTACTTACCAGACCAAACGGGTCAGTCGTACAGAGGCCCCAGATGTCTCCATTGCGTAAGAGTTCCAATTGTTTCGTTTTGTAGCTTGCTGACATATCTAATTAAACCATTTTATCTTGCCTCGCAGGCTGGGTGGTAGGTGGCTCCATAAATATTTGGCGGCATTGACAGAGTCTGGAATATTATCAAAAAAAATTAGAAATTTATCTGGTGGTGCAGACTCGACTCCGCAGCCTTCGGGTATCAAGAACACAAGGTCGCGATAACTGGTGAGTGGATCCTGTATTTTGCGTACACCCAGACTAATATTGGGCCGATATGTACTCCAGTGTATTGTAATGAGCTGGTCGGAATGCATGTGAAGGACCCTTCGAATATCTCGAAGCATATTAGTTGTAAATGTAGCAGACACTATCAAGAAGGGGATATTGGGAGGCAAGTAGTACCTCATGCGGCCCAGTTCTCGAAGTGCGGCTGCTGCAGGAGCCTCTCAAATTCACCTGCAGGCTTCATAGCCTGCTCAGGGCTAATAATCACTGCTCGGTATGCAAGCTTGCCTATGGCCTACAAATGTCAAGTTACATGATTCCCTCATAATGTCATGAAGCTGACTTACTCTAAAATTTGCGGATGTAGCTGTGTCTGAATGGATGGCTATGGCATTAATGCTCACTCTTGCCAGAGTCTGAACATTTTGCTGTCCAAGTAAGTTTAATGCTGTTACTATGATTTGTATGCCTTTCGGCCTGAGTATTAGCGGCATCATAAATGCCAGTGTTTTGCCCAGACCAGTCCCTGCGTTCAATATAACATCAGCACCTCCTTTGGCAAGTGCTTGCCCCACTTTGGCCTGCCAGAGGCATAGGACCCTAGCTTGCACTGGGTAATCCTACGGATGTCAGTCAAGGAGTTTAAATCAACTCCTACCTGTCCATCACAAGGCTCCATCAGTTGAGTACTTGTAGATAAAATTAGTAATTGTACTGTAATTTGAAAAATGATTAACATTTTTCAATGTCCGACAGTGATGCTCGTCACTGTCACTGTGGCGAGCCTTTGCTTACCAATGTTAATTTGCAACCGCTGTGGAGAGAGAGCGAGGAATAAAGTTGTGCTGACTTTGAATTATTATCTTATCATATCTAATCTCATCATTATTTTGTGGCTCTAGGATTAAGTCCTCCTCTCGAAACAGTGGCTGTGGAGGAGCCTGCAAACAACTATGGTCTGCACCGTACGCGTGAGAAAGTGGCAACTAACAGAATACCACGACCTGACGATATACTTAGTATTGCAACAGTTGCAGTGCACCACTGGCACCAGGGTTTGCACAGCGGTGCTCTGATCATCTCACAATGACATCACTTCATACCGGGACCAACCATGCAGAGCATCATGATCATATGATTCTAGCCCGGTAAGCAGGGCTGCTATTATTAGGGACTCGGATGATATCTGTCACGGTAAAGCTAGTCAATCATTTCAAGTTCATAAGGTTGTCCTGGATGAGTGATTGCAGATTTTCAGGTTGCTGGGGTGGGTGTGGTCTTGCAGGATTCGTGAAATCATTAATCCTACGTAGGCTCTTACATGCATTGTTCTTCACGGTGGCCTCTCATCACAACAGCCTTCTTGTACTTATCGAAACAATCATAATCAGCACTGGCGCTTCTCAACATTAATAGTCTATGGTTGTGACAGCGAAGATGCTGGAATCCCGCTAGGTTTCGTATAAAGGTGAGCATTAGGTTGGTTAAGAGTTTTGCAAACTTCGCTCATCTGGCCTGGCAGGCAAATAATATGTCAGCCACTTCTCCATCGTTCCTTTGGGGCTTGCGGGTCTCCGGGGTGAGTGCCGTGGATTCAATAATGCCTGGCGTAAATTAACTTCTATGTTTAGTGTTTCAATGGTTTGTGTGTTGTTCAAGTCTTTTAATCAAGCTGCTCATCTTGGTTCGTTGTAACCACAGTCGCCGGTTTTGCAATTTTGGTGAGAGGACTGAAGTATGTCGACGTGCTGGTGTTTTGACGCAGCATTGATAGGTATATGATCATTGTATCACGCTGGAGACTGAGGTGATTATGGGCTCTGTTGTGCTGACTAGTAAGACACTGATCATAAATTTGATATAGATACGCTGGATTTGGGGGACTCGTTGGAATACTACACGAATCACATTTACTGTTGCACGATATTTACCGTTCATAGCTGCAGCATTGAACATATGTTGTAGGTTTCTCTTGATTTATTCATACGCGCTACATCTTACGATGTATTTCGCCAGCTAGTATGCTAACCCTTACAAGAAATGTCAGTGCAATCATTTTATTAGTCTTCAAGTTGAGTAACTTCCTTCGGCAGTGTGGACTATTAAAAGAGGTTTTGCTCAGTAAGTAGACAATCTTTCAAAGTAACAACAGATTTTCACTGGCATACAAAAAAAGTTTCAAACATCTTGGGAACTGCTGCAGCAGAAGGTCACTTGCGCCAAATTACTTGTCTTATATTCAATTTCTGACTCGTACACCAGTTTTATTGATTCAGCGTACTTATATATTCTGGAATGGTACTAAGAATTTGCTTGCTTGGCTTCTTGGGTTTGCTTTGGTATGGTATCATGCCTATGCATCGAAGATTTCCTACTCATACTGAGTTCCAGATCTTAGTCCTGACGGTTTTTATTCTCCCGACTGAACTTGAAAAATATGCTCCAGCTGGCTACAGTATGTCGTCTCGTTTCTAGATGTTCGGTTGAGTCTGATGATAGATATAAAGTAAATCATGACGGTTGTTTATTTACTAGCAGCAGAGAGACGGCAGTAATATATGGTGCGTTGTTACTGTATGAATTCGGTGAGTTTCTGCTTCTCATTCTATCAACGCATTTCATGGTTGAGTATCCGTTGGCAGTGATGCTATGTTTGATTGTATGCAGCCCCATGACTGTGAATATTTATCGCGACATCATAATGTACATTAGTTGTATCGTCTGTGAGGTTGCACCCCGATTTTTTCTTACTGCTATTGATGGTTGGATTTACAGTGGTTACACTGATCGACCTAATTGTGACTGCCCTCGCCCCTGTGAGTCCTATGTTATGTTTGCTGGTGATGTAATAGGACTCATTTAAATTACACCAGGTTGCATACACCTCTGCAATTGTGACGTGCATCCTTGCAGTATCCACCACCATATTTTCTGACATGAAATACACAGGTTACAGTCCACAATGCATAGCGTCCTCTCATCTCGTGTGCTGTTTGACCTCCGGCGAACGGAAGCCCTAGAGTCTCAAACTCTGGTCCACTGATATTTGAAGGCCTCAACACATGTATTGATCTTAGCAGAATGTTTTTGCAGATACCTGAAGAACCTCTTCCAGAAGTCTGCATGAACAACCCCTTTGTATCCTATGATTATGAACCCACCCACTTGTTATGATGTCGTATTTTGCATTTAAAGCACATGCTGGTCCTCAAACCTGCCTACAAGATAGATATTGTTACGCAGGTAGCCATTTGTCGTATACAAAAATACTTTGAATATCACACAGTTACTATGCTATATCATGTGTCTTTCTTCTTTCTTTTGTTACTTGCCTATTCCGAATCAGGGCTAGGGCAGATATGTTATCGCAGATACTAGTGCATCCAGTATACCCGGCTCGTCAAGACATATATGGTGCTCATGGCGTACAATTCTTGGCCGCTGCTGCAGAGATCGGGGTCAGGGTGCCGAATCATGTTGCTGCCAAAGTGAATAGCATAACATCTCGGGTCACACCTGAGCCAAAGCCGTAAGGAGTTCACACCTGTGGAATGGAAGATACAAATAACCGAAAGGAGAAAACAAGCACTTGAGCGCTTGAGAAAAGAGCCCGTCCGCCCATTGCGTAGCCCATTCACGAAACGTGATATCAGGGCTTAAAATGCTGCACATGACGATCATTCTCTCTGTGATTGGACACGCATAGCCCCCATCAGCCCATCTTCTCAAGGCAAGAAGCATGAGTTCAAAAAGCGGTGTATGAAGGTGTAGAAGCAAGATAACTCACCAGTACCCAGCCACTGGGATTCCTAAGAATCCCTATTCCGATGGGAAAAACGCGATCGATGTACCAAACCACTGGGTCCTTCGTAATTGCCCCGAGGAGTCTTGACACGGTCAGGCAATGGCATATCGTGATACTTGATTGGATGATGGTTTGTATAGAGACAAGATATCCGTTGCCTTTTCCCTTGTTCAAGCAAGCAAAAACATCAAATATGACATGTTTCTCCATTGGAGTCAAAAGCAACATTGGATATCGATAATCGAGAGCTACCAGCCTACATGCGATCCGGGGGACTATATGCGGGACATTTGCAATCTCAGACTTGTTGGTCCTTGTGGTGGCACATGGAAGCTTAGAACTGTGGTTCTTATATGTGGTTCTTCATCGACAAAACCCGAGAGCGTGATGCGTGATGTCCTTCATGGGTAATTTGTTGTGCGAGTCTGGAGAACTGTTTTTGATTCAAGTGTGAGACGCGTGTGAGAAATGTGAGACACGGGTAGATGCAGGACTCGGAAGGTATGAGCCAAGGTTCATGATGTTCATATTGGAAATGAGCGGTATGTTATAGAAAAGGTGATGGTGAAGAAAGAGAAATTATTGAATGACAATCCGTTGCATATTGGTAGGACCTTTGGGCTTCAAAGCTTCAAAGTCCAGGTTGTTGTTCAAACCGATTCTCCAAGGTAAAACAGTAATGGTTGAGAAGTGATGCAGGAAGGTGCAGAAGTAGGATACACAGCAGTAGGCCGAATATCCCGATTCCACAGGAATGGGCTGTCCTGATATTGATTGATCCACTCCAAGAGTTCATCGTTGGGGGGGGGGGGGGGGGGAAATCCAGGCGGTAGATCAAGTTACCCTACTCTAATCCTACTCTAGGATGCATGATCGAGCCAGATGAAACGAAAAGGTAGTGCGAATGGTACAGGAGGAGACGATTTAATGGCACACTGAGTCTTGATAAAAGTTAACAAAAGAAGGGTGATTAGAAGTAACGGGCTTGTCAATGACTTACCATCTTCATCTGGTTTCCGTTTCTTCTTCTTTTTCTTGAGCTCATCCGTTTATCTGAAAATGTTGTGTTGTTAGGCTTATGAGGCGATCATTCTTTCACAAAAGGATATGCCAGTAAATGCTGAATTTGAAAGAATGTACATTTGTGAATAATGATCGAAAACCGCGATGACACTTAGCATATAAAATACACCCACACCCACACTCTTGTTTGACCTTGTCAATAGCCCTAGCTTTTCCTTTCTCCCGCAATATTGTTTCATAGAGATCTTCAATAACCTTCAGGTCTTCGCCAGCCATCTTTGCCCTTTTCATCATCTTCTGCTTCATATTCTTCAATTCCAAAAGTAGGTTCTCCAGTTCTTTGGTTGGAGAAACGGCTTCGGATTTGCTGGAGCCTGAGATGGTGATGTTGGTGGGTGGTGGTGGATTGAAGGCGCCATCTTTGTAGCGCACAGATGAGTGGTGGTGGTGATAGTATACAGACAGAGAGCGAGTGCAGTCAGTGACGTCGAACATTCACTGGTGTTTGAGGTCCTGCATGTCAAAAAGAAAATCAGTCGCTAGCTGAGGGGCTTTGAGCGCCCTGTTTTCCAGTATCGAATCGAGTCAGAGCTGCTCGCCTCTCGATTCGACTCCCAGGATCTCCGCCCCACCAATCCTGCTACTTGAGCATGTACATTAGGCCAGTCCATGCTGTTCTTCAGCACCACACCCTCCGATCTTTGTGAGTCTGCTTATTGCAAGTCTGCACTTCTTAACACTCAAGTACTCATGAACGGGGATCTTAATTCGCACTCAGCATAAGAGGCAACCCCCTCGGCATTCTCACCACAGGTATCGTGCACCCCAATATGCCCTTCCTTCAATCCTCGCACATCCCATTCCTCATCGATGACCCATCCTCAGCGGACACCAACGATCTCGGCGCCCTGCGCGGGCACATCGCCCTAGCAAACCCCCAAGCCAAAGCCCTCATCGCCGCCGCCCTCGTCGCCCCGTCCGCCTCCCCAGGAAAGGGCACACTCCCCGACGAAGTCCTCGTGCTCTTCACAGGCACACCGCAGGCCTACATCACTCCCAGCCTATACACAGAGACGAAGCCCGCAACAGGCAAGGTCGTGCCCACATGGGACTACGTCGCCGTGCAGGCGTACGGGCGCGTGACGGTGTATCACCACCGCCACGGGGATGACGCCGCCAGCAGGGAGGAGACCGACAGTTTCCTGCAGAAGGCAGTGGGCGATCTGACAAATTTCGCAGAGCGCGATGTGGCGCGGAAGGAGGAAGGGCGGGAGTGGAAGGTCGGAGATGCGCCTGAGAGCTACGTGAATGCGCTCAAGAGGGCGATTATTGGGATCGAGATCAAGCTCACGCGGTTGGAGGGGCGATGGAAAATGGGGCAGGAGCTGAGCGAGGGCGATCGGAAGGGCGTCGTGGATGGGATGCGGGCGCTTGGGACGGACGTGGGCGGGGAGATTGCGAGTGTGGTTGAGGAGATGAGGAGGACGGTGTGATACCCTTTCGGAAAGAGTGGGTTTTGGTGGTGTGTTCGTGGCTCGGAGGCCGAGTGTTGGAAGGAGGCGTACACCCCAGTTGTCGTCACATCGCCTTCTTGGCAATTCACCGACCTATGTCATCATGACATTCACCCGTGTATGTTATCCAAAGGTCATAGCACACAGTTGCGATTGCGACCATGGGCATTTAGGCGATGTGGGTGTCTGGAAAGGAAGTCTCGACGACGTCAGGGAAGTATGGCGAGGCTGGACATGCCAAATTGATTATGCTGTCGCAAAAAAATGGCTAGTGAACTAGGAATTGGATTCAACTTACTTCTGAGGGTCAAGGAAGCTAAGTCAGTGTGTGGAGCGGGCATGATGTCAGTTGCAGTGCACCAGGGTTTGCACAGCGGTACTCTGATCATCTCACAATGACATCACTTCATACCGGGACCAACCATGCATAGCATCCATATGATTCTAGCCCGGTAAGCAGGGCTGCTATTATTAGGGACTCGGATGATAAAGCTAGTTAATCTTTCAAGTTCATACAGGTTGTGTTCCTGGAGCAGTGATTGCAGATTTTCAGGTTGCTGAGGTGGATGTGGTCTTGCAGGATTCATGAATTTGTTAAATCCTACGTAGGCTCTTACATGCATCGTTCTTCACGGTGGCCTCTCATCACAACAGCCTTGTTGTACTAGTACTTCTTGAAACAATCATAATCAGCACTGGCACCCAGGTTAGCTTCTCAACATTAATAGTCTATGATCGTGACAGCGAAGATGCTGGAATCCCGCTAGGTTTCGTATAAAGGTGAGCATTAGGTTGGTTAAGAGTTTTGCAAACTTCGCTCATCTGGCCTGGCAGGCAAATAATATGTCAGCCACTTCTCCATCGTTCCTTTGGGGCTTGCGGGTCTCCAGCGTGAGTGCCGCGGATTCAATAACGCCTGGTGTAAATTAACGTCTATGTTTAGTGTTTCAATGGTTTGTGTGTTGTTCAAGTCTTTTAATCAAGCTGCTCATCTTGGTTCGTTGTAACCGTAGTCGCTGGGTTTGCAATTTTGGTGAGAGGACTGTAGCATGTCGACTATCGATGGTGTTTTGATACAGCATCAATAGGTATACGATTATTGTATCACAGTGCATACTGAGGTAACTATTGAGTTCTGTCGGACTGAGTAGCATATCGCTGACAAAATTTGCAATAGATGCGCTGCGTTTGGGGGACTCGATGGAATACTATACGAATCATATTTAATTTTGCACGGTATCTACCATTCGTAACTGCAGCATTGGACATGTATCGTAAGCTTCTTTCGGTTCATTCATATGCGCTACATCTTACAATGTGTTTGGACAGTTGCTACGGTAATCCATACGGGAAATGTCAGTGGAATCATTTTTATTAGTCTTCAACAATTTGAGTGACCTTCGTCGGTAGTGTGAACACCTCAGGGCGGCTTTGTCCAGTACGTAGACAATCTTTTAAAGTAGCAACGGGTTGGTACTGACACACAAGAAAAGGTATCACCATCTTGGGAATTGTTGCTGCAGAAGGTCACTCGTGCCAAGTTAATCATCCATGCCCATGTCCTAACTCATACACCAGTTTTACTAATCCAGCGTACTTATGTGTTCTGGAGCGGTAGCAAGAAATTTCTCGCACGGCTTCTTATATTTGCTTTAGTAGGATATTATGCCTATACATTGAAGAGTTCATGCTCATATCGAGTTCTAGTTCATAAGCCTGGCGGCTTTTATTGTCCCAACTGAACTTCAAAAATACGCTCCAGGTGGTTACGGTATGTCGCCTCGTCTCTAAGTGATTTTCGGTTGAGTTTGATAATAGATATGAAGTAAACTCCAATGATTGTTTGCTTACCACCAGCAGAGAAAGCGCAATAGGATATGGTTTGTTGTTAATATATGAATTTGGCGAGTTTCGGCTTCTCATTCTATTAACGCATTTCATGACTAAGTATCCGTTGGCAGTAATGCTATGTTTGATCGCACGCAGCCCCATGACTGTGAACATCTATCGCAACATCATAATGTACATTGGTTGTATCGTCTGTGAGGTTACACCCGACTTTTCCTTACTGATACTGATGGTTGGATTTTGCAGTGGTCACACTGATCAACCTGATTGTGACTGCCCTCGCTCCTGTGAGTCCTATTTTACGTTTGTTGGTAGTGTAATAGGACTCATTTACATGATACCAGGTTGCATACACCTCTGCATTTTTAACGTGTGTCCCTGCAGTACCCACTACCATAGTCTCTGACATGAAATCCACAGGTTACAGTCCACAATGCATAGCATCCTCTCATCTCGTGTTCTGTTTGACCTTTGTCGAACGGAAGCCCTAGAGTATCAAAATCTGGTCCAGTGATATTCGAAGGCCTCAATACATGTATAGATATTGTCAAAATGTTGTTGCAGATGCCTGAAGAACCTCCCGCGGGGGTCTGCATGATCAACCCGTCTGTATCCTATTATTATGAACTCATTTGCTATGCTGTCGTATTCTGCACTAACGTGCACGCTGGTCCTCAAACCTGCCTATGAGATAGATATCGTTTTGCAGGTGGCCATTGATATTTGTCGTATACAAAAATAATTTGAATATCACACAGTACTCAAAGTCGTGTCTTTCTCCTTACTTTTGTCACTTGTCTCAGACGCTAGTGTATGACAAAACCGGATAAACCCGGTCTCTGCCAAAGCAGCCATTGTTCTCCATGGAGCATAGCCACCACTCCATGGAGTAACCATTGTTCTCCTAGGAGTCATTATACTGTAGCGAGTAGCACCTCCGACTATAAGTAGTAGGGGGTTTAGTATAGGAATACCTCAGTTGTTTCTATAGCCTCTCGGGCAGCGGCTGAGTTTCACTTAGTTTTATTGGGTTATGAGCCCTGGTGCGCAAAAGCTACACAGGAAATAATTCTTATTTGAAACGGCAACCTCGGAACCATGACCACAGCACGCGATACATCCGCATGTCCAGTCCTCACTGGACCCAACAATTTTCAGATATGGAAACTCCGGATCATCTCAAAGCTACGTCGGGAAAAAGTCCTCCAGGTTGTTACTGGAGAGGAGCTTAAGCCCTCACCAGGAAAACCTACCTCCTCGGAGGATCCTGAAATCACCTGATTACTTAAGGATGAGAAGGCACATGGAATCATCCAGGACCACATCTCTGATGCCCTCCTAATGAGGACTGGAGACCTCACCAGCTTCAAGGAGTTATTTGATAAACTTGTCTCACTCCATCAGACATCCAACATTGCCTCGGCCTTCTATTCATTCCAGCAACTCACCAAATTGTCCTGGGATGGGATATCACCTATCCAGGACCACATTGCAAAAATCTGGACAATTGATTCACACCTCTCCAGAATGAAACTAGGAGTTGATACCAAACTCATGGCTTTTGCTCTTCTCCAATCTCTCCCATGCACTCCTGAATGGCAAATATTTCAGTCATCAGTAATCAACACGATTGAAGAAAATAAACTTACCTTTGATGCAGTTGAGATCCGGATCACTGCAGAAGTTGCATGACAGTCAGGGAAGGCCCCTGGAGGTTCCGAATCAGCACTCAAATCCGAGGAGAAATGATGTAATTTCCACAAAGCCAAATCACACAACACCTTGGAGTGTTGAACACTTCAGTCAGCTGAAAAAGGTCAAAGGCAGAAGGAAAAGAGAAGGAAAAGGCAAATACAGCGGAGCAATCATCTGGATCTGACTCCGAGGAGGAACAGAGCCATATTGCATTGGAACATGTACATATTTCCAAGCCCCTTTCTAAACGCATTCAAGCTTACCTTGTGTCTGAACCCGATAAGACCAAAACAACAATCATTATTGACTCCGGAGCAACATCCCACATGGTCCCTCACCGCTCCTGGTTTGAGCCAGGAACATACCATGTTCTGCATCCTCCGAGGACAATCAGTTTTGGGGATGAATCCTCTGTAAATGCCATTGGCATTGGAACAGTATTCCTACAAGCAACTGTTGGCAAAAAGGACTACAATATTGCACTGTCAAATGTCTTACTTGTGCCAAACTTCACGTTAGCACTCGTCTCTGTCCACAAATTGTCCAAAACGGGGTTATCAACACTTTTTCCAGCAGGGTCAAACACTTGTGAAGTTCGGAAAAAGGAGGAACTTATCCTCACTGCGTTATACAAGCGAGGACTTTATCACATTCAAGCAAAACCCAAAATCAACCCGGAGTCAGCTTTTGCAGCAGTAGATGTAAATTTACTGCACAGGAGAATGGGACACATTGGAATGTACCGCTTGCAACGAATGGTTACAAAAAGACAGCTCCAGGACATAGACACCCTTTTTTAGGAAAAATGAAGAAATTACCTTTCAAGTCCACTGGAGGAAACCGAGCCAAGCGCCCCATACAAATTGTGCACACAGATGTTGGAGGACCAATCAAACCAACTTCCAGGGAGGGTTTTTGGTACTGGATTATCATTGTAGATGATTTCTCCAAATTTCCATGGATATACTTCCTAAAACATAAAAGTGAAGCACTGGAACGATACAAGCAATGGAAAGAAGATGTCCAAACATTCTTCCGGACTCATTTGGGAGAAAACAACTTCACTCCACTGTACACAGAATTCCTCCGGAGCGATGGGGGAGGAGAATATACTGGCAATGCATTCAAAAATCAACTCCGAGGAGATGGTGTCATCCAAGAAACTACAGCTGCAGATACTCCGGAACAAAATGGCATTGCAGAACGCAGGAATCAGACATTGGCTACATTAGCAACCACTATGCTCCATGATTCCAAGCTCCCAAAGTCATTTTGGGTAGATGCCATGCAAACAGCTGCATATATCACAGCACGCAGCCCAGCATCAGGACTCCATGGAAAGACCCCATATAAAATACTGTTTAAAAGGAGAGTTGATCCAACTTTGTTTCGCCCTTTTGGATGCCAAGCATATGCCTTGATTCCGAAAGACAAGA